ATGACCTACAGAGACATGAGTTATTGACACTGCAAGCTGTCTCCTATAGTCACAATCAGCTTGCATCCAAATATGACATTGCCCACAGCTACAGTAAACGTTACGTCACAAACCAACTGATAATGTCACTAGAGCCACTGTTCCTGTGTTGCATTTGAATCCGCCTTGTGCATTCATGATGTGAAATTAACCAACGACTTGATTCATTGCTTGTGTTTTCATGGTATTTCTCTGGATATTGTGGTAAAGATGAAGGCACAGCATCATTCTCTGCTCATACTGTATGTCATTGAGGACCTCATTTAGACGGATCTGCATTCTTCATCTGCGTGTTGGCAGCCGATGTTCGTGGTTCCAACCATGTTGTGCATTCATAATTGGCAGTGTTTTGAATTCAGAAACTATTTCATCTAATTATCCTCCTCGGTTTCTTCAGTATGTATTTTGTCTTGTATGTAATGTTTGTTGATGGAAAATTCCTCTTTTGTGTCCATGTTACGGAAATCATTCTTTCACCGTCTTATTTTATTGTCATTCTGGTTACATTTATTGTAATATTGGCGATTGACGGTGGATGGCTCGGATTCATTTTATTACCCTTTATTCTCTTTTTAGGCACATTTTTGGATTAAGAGTCTAAAGAGGCCATTTTTTAAATGAAATGTGAAGTTTAACTGCAGGGCGATCGCATGTTTTCCTTGAACTAGGTCACTATTTCTACTTAAATAGTTTTCTCTGAAGGTTTCTCACTCGGTCTAGCATTGAAGGCCTTAACTACTAGGAAAACGTACAAGAGGACTGGACATGGTACACTTATTTGTATGAAAGTTGTATAGGCCTACGGTTACGTTGGCCAATTAGTGGTACAAAGCACCTTCAGATGCTCCCAGGGCCATCGTCCTTTCTGTTCCTTTGTAAGTCCTTGTTCCAGTTCCAGTGAATGTAATCGTCTTTTCCAACTCTGAAAGTGCGGTCACAAGTTTGCACTCCATTGTTGGCAGTCTGCATAAATAATTGCAGCATAGGTGAACACATCTGAGAGTATACTTCACATCTTCTTAACAAATATACATCAATTGATTTTTTTATAATAATTAAAAAAGGCACAATGGGAGTAAGCAATGCGTTATGTTAGACCTCGGGATAACAGAGATACACACACACCCTTCACATTGATCGACAACATGCTACATCAGTCAATAATTTGAAGCAACAACAGTCAAAGAATAAAAACACAATAAGTAATGTACCGACGGTTTCATCATTAATGTACCTGTATCTGCAGTCCATGCTCCTGTAACTTCTCCTTCAATTCAGCCTTTCTTGGTTTTAAAATGAATTGATCACCGGGGATTCACATGCTAATTTAATTTCTAGGACACTGTGGCTTCTTGTAATTTGCCCCCCCCCCCCCCTGCTTTGAAAGAGTTTTTGTCCTGTTAACTGGACTTGAGCTACAGTAGCTTATTAGCCTCCTAAATATATGAAAAGGGAACTGTTAGTTGGAGAGCAATTACCCCGTCTTGTACATAATTATCTGCAGGAGGTGCCACAGCTCTGACTTCTATCCAAGAGGGTGATTAGTGATTGGAGTACAGAGTAGTTAGCTTTGGAAAAAATCCAAGACTTTAAAGGTGTGTTGTAGTATAAGAAAAATAAAAACATAGTGTATAGTAAGAGACAGGGAAGAGGGATTGTGTGATGGATATTCCCTGTGGGACCGTCATTATTTTCAACGTCAGCTTGCTTTCAGGATATGAGAATGGTTTTGCATTGTTGGTTTTAATATAGAAAATACAATCCTGTGAAGTTTACTGACAGGTTTCACAACGTGGCTCACTGCTGCCTGAATTCAGGTGATCCAGTTAGATGAACGTTTCATGACGTCTCAATGCTTAAAAGGTTTTTTTCCCTGCTTTTTAAGCCAATTATATAGGGAATATACTGTAGACTTTGTGAGTGATGGTGCAACCAGCTAAAACGCAATGCAAAGGCCTTGCAAAAAATCCCACCTTCATAAATGTCATGATGTTCCGTTTTGTTGGAAATGTTTTAGGGAAGGGCTGATTCCACTTTATGGTCATTTTGGAGGCTGCAGTTTGTGGTGCTGTTAGAATGTTGAGGTGTTGTAATTACCAGACGCTGACGAGACACAGGTAACGCTCTAACCGTGTGTGTGTGTGTGTGTGTGTGTGTGTGTGTGTGTGTGTGTGTGTGTGTGTGTGTGTGTGTGTGTGTCATCATTATGGCAAAGGTAGCTCTTGCGACTAGTAGGGACTCAGGTTGTTAAGAGTACTTTGCCATGTCTTCAGTAGACACATTATGTCACTGCGATTCCAACTGCACAAAGAACTGCACAAACAGCCACAAAGATTACAGATGTGTTGTTGAACTCAAAATTAAGGCTACATTCAAAGATGGGTGTTAGTATCAGCTATGTGTTACGGTGTGCAGGAAGCAGGACCCAAATGCAGATTTAAGTGACAAAAATAATTCCTTTATTTCAAGGCTACAATATACAGAGACAGAACAGAACACTCACCGCAGACCAAGTCATTACACAAGACGAACCGACACTGAACACAGGAAGAGACAAGACTAAATACAGGAAGGGGTAATCACAAGACGAGACACAGCCGGGCAGGGGAGGAGAAACACAAGGGCCACAGGTGAACACAATCAGACAACTAGACACACCAGGGAAACTAACGACAGGAGGAAAAACACAGGAAGAAGGACCAGACAATATACAAGGAGGAAAATACCCATAACCAGACATACAAAACTACAACACAGACAGATCCTAACACTATGTGTACAATATAAACTGGTAACTGAGTGTTTATTACATACATAGTTGCATTTTGGTAAAAAAAATGAAATGGTTGTAGACCATTTTCGGACAATGTGATAATGGGCTTTATTAAAAAAATGTGCTGGACTTGAACAATCATCATCACCATACTGTGCATAGGAGGTGCCTGTTTATTTGACTACTTGAATACAACCCACATGTATTTCCTTAATCCAATACAAAGTCCTTAGCTTGAAAATTACCATACCATTGTTTTAGTAAGCAGTTCATTTGAGAACAAATATTAATTGACGCCTGGTTTTCATGTTCTTTCACTATATCAAACCCTACTGAAAAAAATGAAACAAATTGACTTATTTAAGAATAATCCAACCGAATAGCTGTCATGCCAATAAAAGAGCTTTTGTTAAATTGACTAAAATGAGGATAATCTGACAGCAGACAGTGCAAACGACAGTCATTTAAAAAGCCTGCATTCAGTGTCTACCGAACATTGCTGCTCTGATTGGATGAGGATCATACCCTTTGCTAGAGGTGTCAGAGAGGAGGATGCTGAGGAAACTGCTCAGCATCATGGACAATAACTCTCACCCCATGCATGCCACTCTGGAGGCATATCAGAGCACCTTTAGCAGTAGACCACCACAGGAGGTCTTTTCTTCCTGTGGTCATCAAACTTTATAACTCCTCCTCCTTCGTCCTTCTGTTAATGTCATAATCTCATAACATTTGCAGTTTTTATATTTAATATTTAACCTAATTTTATTTAGTACGATGAGAAATTAGCAATTATTATTAGTTGTTTTTGGTATTTGATATTTAGTATTTTACTTGAATGTGCAATATGACTTGTCACTGTCACAAGCTGCTACCTATTCTCTACTGGGGCACTGTAATACATTATTTTAAAACTTTGTATATAGTATATTGAGCTATTGTATATTGCATACTTTTATTAAGATGTATCATCTGTATTGTAATTTTGGAGCAACCTGGCAAAAAGAATGTCCTTCGGGATTAATAAAGTTCTATCTAATCTCATTTCTGGGCCATATTCCATTATACTTTTTGAATTTGCTGAGGGCCGGTTCAAAATGGTCCGCGGGCCGGATTTGGCCCCCGGGCTGTAGTTTCCTTAACTTGAGCTCTGCAATAATATTTTCTTTGCCATTTCTAACTAGCTGTGGTCACTCTGGCTGATGAAGTTTTATGTGTTTTGGGCTCATTTAGTCACACTTCTTAGTCACACCACAGGAATCCTTGACTGCTGATTCTGCAGGAAACAAGTGAAGCTTTGTTCTAGCTAAGCACAGAGATGTTTCAGGCATTACTTCTGTGTCACAAATCTGTCTTTTCCTTCCGGTCTTTTATGAAGCGAAGGCTCTGGGAGGCGCGCTGCGTTTATCTTGTTAGACAGAAAGCATGATTTCTAAGAGTTTTTTAAGCATCTTAAATGTTTTTTCTCTCATGTACATTGGCAGCACAGCACTGGTTCGTACCCACTGCTGAGTGTTGACTGAATAATTGCAGTGCTGGCTGGATGTTACTCTCTCTAAAAGACAGGAACACTGCAGGCTAAAAAGGAACAGGAAATGTTGGGGGGTTTTTTCTGGTAATATTGCTGCTGGTGCTAAAACTAACAAGGTCAATTTTCTTGATGTGCATGCTTTGCTTTCCACTGGCTCCAAGCACCTGCTGCCTTTTCCCAAATGTAGTTTAAAAGATGTGATCCTGATTGTTGGGCTTCCTGTAGGGAATTAATCACAGCTTGATTCTTCAATTTCCTCTAATCTGCTGATTGTCGGTTTAAAGTTTGACATTTACTACTTGTACCAACTGTTCACTTTAAATGAAATATTTAATACCAAAATAAATTCAACAAAATTTGACTCACAGCGGTCTCTAGCTGGTGTAATATAATCAAATAAGAATACAAATCAGCTTGTGACTGTGAGGAGTAAAGATATATAATGAAACTCCAAGTGTTAGGCCAACATAATACTCTTATCAGTAATTGGCTGATCGTGTAGGAAATGAAACTGCTCTTGTAGCACTGATCGCCTGCAGGTAGCTAATTCCTTCCTTGCCTTTCGATGGCACACTGTAATAATGTCTATACTGTATTTCGTGCTTCATTTATTGTGTTGCTAATTAAGTGTCTGATTTTGTGTGTTCTCGTTTAAAGTTTCACTGGAAGTGCAGATCGTACCGACTCATGGAGAGATTAGTCTCGGAGAGTCCAAGTTCTTCATGTGTGAAGGTAAGTTCACTAAACTCTCACACGGTAAACACACACCTGCATCCAACATGTCACATTTTACATACATCATACATATTCTAAAGATACTGTAGAGCTTACAGTGATAGAAGAAAAGAAGAGGAAAGCATGCAAAATGCCAAAAGGCAAATGTGTTTTTCTTTTGTTTATAATCTTATTTAATAAAAAAGTTTCTTCATATTTCAAATGAATTTTTCTTGTCCTACTTTGTATATAGAGAACCGCAGTGACGCGTCCTAAAACCCGGATGTAAACTCCTTCCGGTTCCTTCGTCAAAAACGCAATGCAATTTCTCCATAGGATTTTGGAAAATAGCTGGAAATAAGGTCTGTGGTTGACACACATTTAAGAGACGGATCACGTTTTGTTCAGCCGGATAATATCCACATGTCTATCCTACTGTTATAATTTTCGAAGCATAAATCTAGTCGCAAGAAGCAAAATGCTAACGTTATGCTATAAAGGAACTACAGCAGGGTCGCTGCTTCAACGTCACGCCAACTTAAGATCCATATTCAAACATACAGATTGTAAATGGTACAAGTTGAAGTGTTTGTTTGAACAGTTTGCAGGAGGCAGGTACTTGCTTTCAAGCAGAACAGGGCAAACAAACTTTTGTTTTACGTGTTCGGTGTAATGACGTAAAACGGCCTGGACAACTTCTGTAGTCCTATTCAGCCACTTGTTAACAACCATCGTTTATCTGACACGTAAACTCCAGTGGGGTCACTGCTGATGTATTTAATGTCGTAGAACAAAACGTGATCTGTCTCTTTAATTTGTGTCAAACACAGACCTTATTTGGAGCTATTTTCCAAAATCCTATGGAGAAATTGCATTGCTTTTTATCGAAGGAACCGGACGTGGTAAAAATGCTAACTTACTTCCGGGTTTTAGGACGCGTCACTGCGGTTCTCTATTTGCAACAGAGATAACTGTTACGTAGACAAAATACAAATAATTAAACATGAAGTACAAGTACTTAACATTTCCAAGCACTAGTATTATTATTGTATAAACACATTACAAAGCCATATTCAAAAAATCATTTGTACATTCTGATTATTAAGGATACTAGGATAAGTGGTGTGCGTATTGCAATTATCACAGACAGCACAGTTTATCCACAGATCTCTGCGACCATATTTTAAACTTTATAGTGTCTGCTCAGTCGCGATTCAGCAGACAGTCTCGCCCTCACATCCCCTAGGACCCGTTAGAGGTGCAGCGTCCTTGCCAGAGCAGGTCTCTAAATTGGAGAAAATAATTCCTCTTTGGGTGCTGAATGGATGATTTATATGTTAATGTGGATTGGATGGCCTCAGAGCCAATCGCCACATCTCTAGCATACATGTTATTAATCTTTATAAATGATCCCCCTTATTTACATGAGACCCCCTACCTTCCCAGAACGTCCCGTCTACCGAGCTTCTGGGATAATGGTAAGGTGAGGCAGCTGCAAATAGCCCAAAGATGAATATTGAAAGAGAATATCTACCCCAGCAACAGCCTGTTCATCTCGCTGCCGTCTGCCCGGCCATACAGACGTTTTCTCTGCTTAACCACCACACTATAGAGCAGCTTTCTCAAGCTGTTAGACTGCCCAACTCAAAAACAAGTTTTACTTAAGTAGAAAAAGGGAATACCGCTGCACATTCTTGTGTTACAATTACCACAAATTAACCTTGATATCTAATATCGTGCGTTTCCTTTCGTCCTCACCATCTGGTCAAGGCAAAAAATGGATGTATGGTTTTGTATTTATTTGACTTTTATGTTTATAAAGAGCTAAAAACACATGTTTGAGTCCATGCAGGAGCATACACAACAATATACAGTCAGCGGGCACTGCTGACCTTCTGATGTTAGATAACAGTTTTATAACTTCTCCTGCTCTCAGTCGAAGGCTTCGCCAGGCACATAGAATGGTTCGGACCAAATGGGGACAGGATAGAGCCGAACAGACCAGACGTAACTGTGAGCCGTAACGATGAGTCATCCACTCTCACACTCTACAAAGCTGGGACTGAACATGCAGGGACATACAAGTGTGTCGCTACCAACGGAGACAAGCAGGCAGAGGCAACTGTAAAAGTGAAAATCTTCCGTAAGTATTTTCCTCACCTTTTGTCCTCAACAAATTATTGAGTGGCAAGAACACAGAAGAAGAAAAAAGCCCTGTTTATTGAACTCGTAGTATTTTATTGACTGCTCAAGGGCAGCACATTACTCTTTCTCTTTTCAAGTGAGGGGGGATTTTTCATCAGTTCAATAAACGGTCGGAAGACCATTAGAGGGCTGCTTAATGATCCTGTCTGTTGTGCAGCTCTTGTGAGTAATGGCTTTTATTTTCCATGAATGCCAAGCATCAGCAAATGTCTATAAGAGATGAAATCCTTTGCCAAACACAACTTTTCCTGTTATTTCATTTTCTTATTTTAGGCTTATTATTACAAGTGGTCAGCCATGTGGATACTGCATATTAAAATCAATATACAGTCTATTGCAAAATAAGATTGCAGTTTCAGTTTGTAATTTACATTTTTCTTGGCTCAGTAAATGTGAATTGAAAAATAGTTTTTTAAGAGGGAAAAGTTGTTCTTTTAGATGTGAAGCACTTCAAACGGAAACTTGAGAAATCGAACCCTAACACATTTAAAATAATCAATATACTGATATCTTCAGAGCAGATACTGTATACAACTTCTGCCACCTCTGGAAGCATGGCAGCAGTTTGTAGATGCACTTTTTTCATATAGCTACTGTTTTGGGTCTGATTTTGTTAACGTGTCGCTCACGTGAACTGCACACTGGCTGAGAAAGTTTTGTTGTGTTGAGTTTTGATGAGATACTGTAGCTTTAAAGATACTGTAGCTAGAGTATCTTTAATGAGATACTCTTATAGTCGGGAGGCTTATCGTTATTCTGTATCTTTTCCTGTCAGTCTAGTTTGTAAGGAAACATTATTAAATGTTTCTATGCCATGCCAAGCTCTTCATTAACCAGTTAGTGGGTTTTTGAAATGACTGTTAATAAGAAATGCTGTAGCTATGGTAACAAAAAAACTGTCTGACAGGAACTTGATCTAAGAAAGTCTTTTTCACCGTTTAATTTTTTATAATTTGGTTGTGAAATAATTGTATATGCTGACAATATAGAATTGACAATAATTGATAGGTGAAATTGTATGTGTGTAAGTACTTCTCCAGTCATTTTTGTTTTCAGGAAAATGATCATATAAGATTTCCTATCGCTAGTTGAAAATACTTTCAAAGTGTATATCTGCACTGTAACTTTTAACTTGTATTTTTTCTTTTAATGTTTATTTTATTATCTTTTCTTTTTAATGACTGATTTTAAATGCCATTTTCTTAATGTCTTTTGTTTTTTGTAAAGCAATTTGAATTGCCTTGTGTTGAAAGGTGCTATATAAATGAACTTGCCTTGCCTATATATCCTATAACTGTAAAAGTGAATATGAATGTGTCCTGCACAATAGTCATACTTAAAAGGAGAGTAAACATATTTTTTTCATGTCATATTCCAGAAAAAATCACCTTCACAAACGCACCGTCACCCCAAGAGTTTAACGAAGGAGACCAGGCCAACCTTATCTGTGACGTCGTCAGCTCGCCCCTCCCCACTGTCTTCTGGAAGTATAAAGGAGCAAAGATACACATGGAAAAAGATGGTAAGAGCTCCCTGAACATCAAGGGGATCATTCTTCTATTCAACAAGATTTGGTGTTCAGCTGCTGTGGTTCCAGTCTTTAAGGTTTGACAAACATTATTTAATGAATGTTCTAAATATTTTTGGACATTTAGATTACATGATTTAATTTGCTAAATGGTTTGCATATGATCTCTTTAAAATCTGTAATATGAAGAAGTTATATCATTTTTGATGTATTATCACGCCCATATTTATTTGTTTATTTGTTTATTCCACACATGGCAGTTATTTTAAAACAAAACATGTACACTTATACTGTTTTTTATGTATTTATAGCTCATGGTGGAAAGGAGCAAGGAGAAGAACATCTCATTTGACCTAATAACCATTAAAAAGTCAAATAAAGGCAATATTCTTTCAGTCACAGTTACTTACAAATACTGAAACATAAAACCAGAACACAATCAAAAGTCAGCTTCATACTGTTTAATTACGCTTTCTTTAAACATAAACATTTTCTTCACTTCTTTACACCAACTACAGAGACACACATATCAACTGTAATTTGGTCAGAACATGTGCAAAATGTACCTTTTAAAGTAATGTAATGGAGGGTAATGACAACTATCATGAAGCATATTTTAAAATAAAAGTCTGACCTCAAAATGGGACTCATTTATTGTAATTAGTTTGTACAACTATGATAAAAGGAATGCTAGTGAAAATACAAGCTCGAGTCACAGCAAGCTATTACAGTTATGCAGATTTGCCGACATTAGAGACTTGAAATTGTCCGTGCCCTGCATCTGTTGCCCTTCTCCTCCAGGGTTGATCCTGTGCTCTGAAAGGAACATTCATTTGGTTTGGAATTTGAAAATCCAGCGCATACTCTGTAATTCACCTGTGACACAGAGCAATATCATAATGTGGTATTGTTGGTTCTGCTCACTGGAAAATAATAACGCGAGCTCATGTGTGGGTTGTAACAGTATTTTGAATTACTACATGATTAAATGTGTGGGGTTCACTTTTCATCTCCAAGTTAGAGAGCTCTTTTGGGTCATATTCCTGCTTTTCTGGAGCTGGTGAAAAGAGTTTGGGGGCTTGCTTACATATGAGTTTGAAGGAGTGGAAATGACATATAATCCGTTTCGAAATAGAGTAGTTTTCTCTGTGAAAGTATCCCCCAGACAGACAGAAGTATTGCATATTTCGAGACTAATGTAGCTAGATGAAAATGCAAAAATGCAACATTAATCTGTAATAATAAAGCAGAGATATTAGTGAATAAATCATACATCAGTGTTAAGATGTTGTCAGCCAGATATATCAAAGTTAATTTAAACTAATTCAGATGACAATTTTCTTTATATATGGAGTTTCATTACTTCAAAGTGTTGGTAGCGACACAGCAGCTCTTCATCATCAAATCGTTCCTCTTTTAAACATGCCAAATATAATGACACATCTAACAATGCCTTTATGTTCTGCTTTCTTTCAGTTCGCTTTAAGGTACTGAGCAACAATCACTTTCAAATCCGCGGCATAAAGAAGACTGATGAGGGCTTATACACCTGCGAGGGTCGCCTCATGTCCCGCGGCGAGATTGATCTGCGGCTCATCAAGGTCGTAGTGAACGGTAAGTGGCCCCTCGCCACTTTTTCCTCCTTTCTGTTTGTTCCTGTGTGCATATTTTTGTGTGACAGGTGTCCAATGACGCTTAAACAAGCTGTATGTCCTTAGAGGCCCAGCATCAATGTGGAAACAGTTGCCCTGAGCAACCGTTCATCAAAGATGTTCCATGCTAATGAGGTCTGTTTTCCAGCAACTTCTGAGCCGAGCGAATGACGCCTAAAATAAGTGCTCTGAATTTGTCACAGCTTCTGTCTCCAACCCCCTTCTTTTTATCTACGTCGCTACCTGCTTCTGTATCTGCCAATATATTTTTCATTCTGTCTTTTTCATTATTTATCCATCTCTGTGTGTCTCAGTGCTCCCGACCATCAGGGTATGGCAGTCAGAGGTGAATGCTACAGCAGATGTCGGGCAGCCCGCCATGCTGACTTGTGCTGTTGATGGCTATCCTGAACCCATGGTGACATGGACAAGGTAACACTGCTGCTAACTGGAGAGACAAATGCACTGCAGCAGACCGTCAGAGGCTGGGACATGACCTTATAATGTAAACAACAATGTTGGCAGGACGGCAGGAAAAGTTTGGTTCCGCTCATCATCAGTCATTCGTAACCTTAATTACTACATCATTTATATCAGTATGAAACATTCGGAACTTTATTATATATTATAAAAGGATGTGAAGAAAATGATATTACAGAACCGAAATGATATATTACACACTGTACATTTTACATTTATAATTACACACTGTACATTTTATATTTAATTTAATATTCCATTCTCTACAATCTTGATGTAAATAATATCCTGCATTATATTGTGTCTAATGCCCTCAATAGTGTTTAATTGTCAGAGTTTATAGATGTTTTATCTTCACAGTCTACTGTAGATTTTTCTACTTTTTTAATGCCGTTTTAATTCTATTTTGAAATGTTTCAATTCTAATATCTTTTATTTCTACTCTTTAATTTCAACTTTTGTGCAAAGCCTTGTTTTGGTTTTGTGTTTTTTATGCTGCTGCAACGCAAAAAGGTCTCAGTTTGGGATCAATAAAGTACCTCTTATCTTATGATCTTATCTTATATACTTTAGGCTACATGCTGTCAGCTAAATGTCCACACAGTAACACACCCTCTTCAGTGGAAACTCTAGGATATTAGGGATATGGTACTAACTGGTTTATTCATTGCAATGGGATACTTAATCAAAGAGTATAAAAGGTGCACGTAAACAGTGAAACCTGAAGACTGGAATGTCATCAATAGCCACTATTCTGTGTGTCTGAATGCAGCCTTTGATAGCTTCCTGCTTTGTTAAACTGTTCCTGTTTCTCTCGTTTCATAGACAGCTGTTAGGCGTGTACAGACGACTTAGACTGGGGGAGGCAAAAAGTGCATACAGCCAAAGAGCTACTGTCTGCTTTTTTAAGTATTTTGTCACCCTGGAAATCATTTGTTATGCTTGTGCAGCTAGAGCACCTGCTACTTGTTAAAAGAGCTGTTTTTAAAGCCAGAACGAGAGATCGCAGACAGTTTGAGGCCAGGGAACATTATCTCCTTTACATTGTAGCCAACAGGGACACTACACTGTGACAAAATGAAAAAACACACTTTTCTGTTTGAATGTTCTCTTAACACCAAATGTCAAAAGAAAAACATTGATTTCAGCGGTTCTTTTTTTCTTCACTGCACTTCTACTTACCCACTTTATCTTTAATGTCATTTGACGGCATAAATACTATATGTAAGAGATAATGTGCAGCGACGCGGTCATTATGGGGAAAAGAACACAGACAGGCTGATCAGGAGCCTGACGCGAAGCGGAGGGATCTAGATCGGCATGAAGCTGCATGCAGTTTGCTTTTCAGCCCAACTATATACAGTTAAATCGAACGGACTTATTTATGCAGATGTGAGCGTCCTTAACAACGGTCAATAAGTCCTTGACAGTGGTCTGTCTGTTCTGGATTAACAACGTGTCACGTGTTCTGAATTGACCAATCAGAATTGAGTATTCAACTAAGCCATGTAATAAATATGTATAGAAACTACACATTTTTGTTCAAAAGATGTAAGGGTCATGATTAGGAAAACAGCTGTCTTGTTAAAGAAACATCTTGTTAAATGGTGCAGTTTAGAAATGATGTGTGTTGTTGTGTGGATAGATAAGCCCTTATGTTTTTCACAGGAACAATGTGGTCCTGGAGGCTGGAGAGAAGTACAGCTTTAATGAGGACGGCTCAGAAATGACATTAATGGAAGTAACTAAGCTGGATGAAGGAGAGTACACCTGCATCGCCAAGAATAAGGCTGGGGAGAGCGACCAGGAACTCAGTCTGAGAGTGTTTGGTAAGACGCTACATATACACCCATACATGAACTAAAGTGACAATATCAAATGTTCCAAGTGTGTCGGAATAAGTACAAGAGTACGTAGGTGGAGGAAGAACAATAGTATGGTTATGTGTCTCTTTTCAAAGGGATACAACATGAGGTGTTGTTTCAGTGTGGGTTGTGGTTGTTTCATGCAGAGGATCCTGAGAACTGATAAGATCATCTGAAATCTATGAAGTATTTTTCTTTCTTCTTCCCTTTTGCCCACTAGGTTGTTATTGTTGTTTTTATTGTGTCAGGTAACAACCATAGTTTAAATCACAACACCACAATATCAGAGCATGTAGCCAATGAAATGTACTTTGAGTTATCTGGTTCCCACACAACGGAGGTGGTTTTTTAGAGCTAAACGATAACCATCAAATTACTCAAGACAGCCTTCAAAGCACAGTGTTTACCTCTTTAGCGCTATTTAGCTCATTAACTCGAAGATTTTCTAGCACTCACAAAGCTCTGGTCTACTTACATCAAAGTAGGAAAAGATGTAATTGTGCTTTTCCTAGTACCCTGCCACATCTGAATATGAAAGCTGTGTTCATTTGTGTGTCTCCCCTACTGTATGCTGATTGGAGTTCTGAAATGTTTAGTACCTGTCAATACCAAGTCTGATCAGATATATCTTCATATAAAACACAGATGCATGGAGCACAATTGGCCTTTAAAGCCCCTTAAATGTGGTCTGAAATACGACATATTCCTCATTTCTTCATAAATAAGCAACAATAAAGGGTAATGTTAGAGCATTCCTCAGCCTAATTCACACTCATTTTAAAGTTACTGGTGACTGTGTCCGTGGGTCATTTTCACCCCAACCTGATTTATATTTACAGCCACAATAAACTATTTCTAGTACTATTATTTCCTCATGTTATTCAAATCCTCTTTGGAGTGACCGCCTTGTGTTTTAGGGTTTTTGGTGCATTTAGAGTAACTTCTTTCGATACTTAATATTCTTTTTACCCAGCTATGTGTGCAATTTGACTTCTGTGTGATAATGGAGATGGATGGAAGCATTTTAACTCAAATGTGCCTCATGCAGTATCTTTGCCTCCTGTCTCCCCCCCGTGTCCCCCGGTCAGGCTTTGGCTTTGTGCTGCTGAAGGTCCATCACAGACAGTCCTGTATTATGCCATCTAAAGATAAATTACACTGAATATGTAATTACTCTCTAAGTGTTATTTACCCATCTGGTCTGGGTGGGTGTGTTTTGATCACATTGATTGAGAGAGCAGGCAACTCATGCAAACAACCTCCCAACTCCATTTGCTTTACATAAAACATTTTCAATTCTGATAAAGTCTGGGCCCCAAAGAGCTCTGAACTCATCTCAGTTTTGGAGAAAAGTGTGTTTTAAATAGCTTTCTTTTCTTTTATAAATATCACTTGAGATGAAGGCATTCAAAGCAAGTTTACAATTGTGGTGAATGTTGTAAGTTATACAGTATTTACTCTATTGAATGGGCTAACATTTTAAAGTACAAGTGCATTGCTCAATCCATGCATTCTACCTTTCTGAGGTGGATAGAATAAAGTGAAAGCACATAGTGATGCTCACCCTCTCGCTTCAGGAGGAGCACTTGAATTTGCTTCGCTCTGCACACGCCACATTGTTGGCAACATGCTGTGCTTTCAGGTGTGCTATAACGCGACAGTTCTTTCAAAAGGAAACACAAAATGAAGACCAGCTCCTTTGAGATATAGGCTCAAGAAATTGTTACATGAATTAAAGTTTGGATCCAAACACTGTAATCGCAGCTTTGCCACTGTTGAGACTTGAAAAGAAAATACAGTTTTGCTGCCATTCAAATCCCCCTGTCACCTGCCAAGCTTCTGATCCTCCTCCTTCCTTTCAACTCATCACGCATCCTCTGAGTTTCTCTTTTACCTGTTTGTACTTGCTGCCAAACCACCTGGCTTGTCTTTGTATGACAGTGTCATTGTGACTCCTTTTTGCCTGTGTTTACAGTAAAGCCTAAGATCACGTACATCGTGAACCAGAGCACTTCTGAGATGGAGGAGCAGGTAACTCTGACCTGCGAGGCATTGGGAGACCCCACTCCCACCATCAGCTGGAGTTTCGGTGAGCGTGTCTTCGCTGAAGGAGAGCAGGTAATATCATAAAAGCTGTATTGATGTCCATATCTCAATATCTTAATCTTAAGTAATCAGTTCTGCTCCTTTAGGGCCGATGTCCTGCAAGCTCTTTTCCTCCTGGAGTTAATGAACAAAACTTGGTGCAAAATACGCTGATATTATCTGTTTCCCAGTTGCATACTTTAAAGAATATCTGAAATTATGATGTTTCAATAGTAACATGTACACACTAGGAAAATAAGATACCACTTATTAAATGCAAAAAAATTAAATAAATGCCAGATGAAAGAGGTGTATTGAGTTTAGAAAATAATGAACTTTCACATACATTTACAACATTTATTTTACTTGCAATACTTTCATATTGAATATATGCTACAAAAGGAAACACATGTTCTGCACTGACTTAACTATAGTACCTTTTATAATGCATTGGCCTGTGATGTATAATTGGGAAACATTGACTGCTAATCACCAGGGAGGAACACGAGCCTGCAGGACACCGGTGTCCCAAGGAGACGAATTGAATACCTTTAACCTAAATTCAAGAGGTATATTGATTGTGCGCAGGTGGGGGACTTCAGCAGTTTCCTCAACAAGATTACGTACTGCTGATTATTCCTCTTGAATTAGCAGCTCCTTCTAGATGGCCCAGAGGATCTCATGTCATTAGCTGCAGTAATGTGGAGTAACCCAATGAGTTTTCCCAAATGTCAAGAGAATCTGCATCAGAAACCCAATTATAACATTCCCCAGAAAAAGCATGCAATTTGAGACAAAAATGATGTCCGCTTCTAATTGTAAAGTATTTGCTAGCACTTGGATGATGAAGTGTTTGTTTAGCATTTTCAATCCCCATTCTCATTATTCGGCTCATGCTGGGGATTGAAAAGTGTTTCGTATGTTTATCTATGGATATTCTGCGATCATCTTTTACATTTGTTTTGAGCTAACTTCTTTAGTAACCATTACGTCCTTGATACAATTCCCTTTTGGTAATGCCTTCTACATCATCCCATGTGCAAACCATCAGAAGCAATGAATACCTGTTTGGTATTCTGTTCATATATCGCCCTCATGACCTGCTCTTTCGAGGTCGTAGCATTTGCCCCTCATTACCTCTCAGCTTCAGAGGTAAACTGTAGTTCATGGAGGAATTCTGGATCCAGTCCATTACATGCAGTACATTTTCTTCCTACAGGCACATCTAAACAGGATCTATCAGGTAGGAAATCCGCGTGGCACAGAAATGTACTGGAGTAGTGTTGCAAAGTATGCCTCCACATCTGACAAAAAACCCTTAGTGTAATCAAATCATCCTCTTTTTTATTTCAAATTACCCAGCTGTTTCTTGAAAGCCCCAAGGAATGATCTCATCAGAGTTCATGGAATTGATTCGACCGCTGCATGCCTCCCAAATGTAGCCTGAAAGATGTCACACTGATCTCGTGATAGCAAGTGTGTGGAGCTTATCTCATGAGATCACATGACAATTTAGTTAACAACTGTATAAACGACAAACGCCATTTCTGTGTCGCTGTTGCCTGATCATTTCAAACTTTACATCACAGCATGAGGATTAAAGCCGAGCTCAGTGTGTCTGTCATCTCCATAGTACTGTAGATTGTCTAACATTCATGTCAGTATACCTTGAAAGGGTTAAAGTGCTCCACCTAAAATCCTTTGAGCATCAAACACACCCTGCAGACCAACACACAAGTGTTTTTAGAGTACTGATGATAAAGTTGGCCAGTGCAGAAGTGGATTGCGCTTCGATAAGAGGTTTATTGGGCATTTATCCAAGTGAAAACTGGTTGCTATTGGAATCCATTGCAATTGACAGGATTTCAAGCAGGCTGCAGCCACTGTGCCATCTACGAGCCTAGTGTTTGATATTCAAAAATAGGTTTTGAGTGAAGCATCTCTTCGAGTGCAAAACACGCTACCACCATATGACGCACGTCACGACAGGCCTATTTTCTTCTGTGTAAACCCACACACACAGTGGTGAGGCTAAACGCAGAGCCCAGTTACAGTTACACCTCGTCCTATTATCCAGTGTAGAAAAGCAGCTTTCTTGAAGTACTTCCTCTTTTGCTAGCGACTTCTTTTGTGGTTGTCATAATCTAAGAGGAGAGCCTCCTCAGGGCTCTGCATCCGAACTTTAAGAACACTTCGCCTGGCAGGCTTTGCTGTACTGTAGGTGTGAAGATGGACTCAAAGAAGTAAATAACACACAGATGCTGTCTGTTATAAACAAAGAAACAGGCAACTACAAAACATATCATCCTGCCCTCAATTTCTGCCCCTTGTAGCCCTGTTGACGTGCAGCACCATGGCATGTCACGTGACACATGTCATGTAACATGCCACGGTGGCAGTATGTTTTGCGCTTTAGTCTGCAGTATGTTTAGTGACCCGTGGCATCTTTCTACAGCCGTCGTCAAAGAAATGATTAGCAGCCTTACTGACTGACTGTAGAGCAAAGATTTGTTTTCCTTCTAGTTCTGATTATCAGCCAGGAAAATGACTTCCCTAACGGGGCTCTAATAGATGCATGCTGGGACGGCTGCTAATTGTTCAACTGTCTTGTTCTGTTTGTCCGTCTGTCATGCTATGTGTCATCATCATAACAGCTGTATTTCATCGAGGATGGAGTGACAATGAAACAACATTCGCTTGGGGTGGACATGTTGACTTAAAAAAAAAAAAGGCAGCTGTTTTGTTTTTTTACCAACCTTTAAGCGTTGCAGTGAAGAGTTTTTTATCATTCATTTATTGATGTGAGATCTTTGTGTTTGTCAGAAAAACAGATCTGTACTGTGCCATGAGAGATGTGTGCTGGTGACAAATATACAGAATTAATTAGCAGTTAATTTGAATGTGTTTTCAGTTCTTCGGCTCCCTAGCTGGTCATTTCTTGAATAATGCAGTGCATCTAGGACATGGAGTTTGCTTTTATGCAAAAATACATTTTATTTCTATACAATTCTTAACTTTTTTGGTAATTTCAATAAATAGTCCACTTCATTATTGTTGCTGTACATTAAGACAGGTAGCAGTTTCATCACTTAAGTGAAGATGTGCCTTATAATGTGGCTCAGTTATTAACATATCACATTTTTGAGGCACCTAAACTAATTTCATGGTTCAATACTCAGTCTGAATATAATAAGCACGATACCAATTTAGAACAAAAGCTTCAGAAATGAAACATCAGAAAGCTAGAATAAAGCCTGAAAAGGAAGTTTCTCCTACATGTGAACATAAGAAGAATAAAGATAAAGGTGAAGGTTTTAATTGTGTTATCCTCATCGTTCATGTTGGAACTATACTCGTAGCTCGGCAGATGGTCTCTTTCCATGACGCACAGGATATGAAATGACTATATAATATTCGAGCAAAAAAGATCAGGATTAGAGAATACATGTAAGAAACCAATGTTACATCTTATATTCTGTGATAAGACATGCACTGTCGGTTTGAAATCTTGTCTGGGTATGTTTGACTTGGTTTCCTTTTATTGGTCTCATGTCTTAAAGATTAACGTGCAGAGAGGCAAATTAATTCTGAATAAGCTTCGTCACGAAATGTTCAGTTTTGACACAAAAGCTTTGTTCTATAACTGAAGAAGATTTAGGGTGTATCATACAATACAGAAAAGCAATGGTACATTATGACAGACAGGAGGAAAGGAGCCAATTAAAAAGTGTTGATCACTTGCGGTTGCAAATTGACACTTATCTGAGGACAGTTTTGTTTTTGTTTATGCCGCTATTAATAAAGCTTTTAAACTTTAACCAACTCTAAGTGAGGTTGTTTCAGTCTTTGAATGCATTTGCTGGAAGTCATTGTCGATAAGTGTGTTTGTAATAACTGAAAATGTAAATGAGGTATTTATCCACTCTTTGTGCATTATCTACATAATGAATGTTTGCCTTATTAGAATAAATATTGAACATTCTGCTTGAGTTTCAAAGCTGTAATTATCAGAGGACATTTCAAGTTTTAAGGAGTTAAAGAAGTTGTTGTGAATAAGGTCTAATCTTTGAACTTGAAAGCACATTACAGTGAGGATTTGGTGATGGCACTTTATGACTGTTATCTTTGTTTTGTTCAAAAATACAAGTCTCAGGACACACATCTTCTTTTAAGGCCTGCTCTGTGTAACATCCAGAAGGCCAGTTAGAAAGGAAGCTCATGGTTATTTAAGGAGTAATGAGATGCTTAAAGAAAATGTGTAATTAATGTGGTGTGGCAAGGCGTCTGGAACAGGAATGCTTTAAACATAGCGTGCCAGTGCAGACAAAGCATTGTTTTCTGCAAACACAAAAGACCACTCATTTACAGCAGCACGCAGTCGCCCAGTAGTGCGGTGATGTAAGGCTTTCTTCACTGAAACGCAGTTTTCTGTGATGTGCTGGCAGAGGCTATGAGCTCTGCAGTAAATGACACAGGGCCATGACAATATGCATAGTCATCCCTTTCAGTCAGGCGTCACCCAGCAGCTCTCTGTACATACAGTGTCTCCGTCTTGCCCTCTTCACGCTGAATTTACAATCCATGTCAGAACAAAAGGCAAGGATGATTTTCTATGGAAGGGAATAACAATGTGCTGGTAAAATGATAAGTCCTGTGGAAGCCGTCATTATATTGTTCTGAGTGTTAAGCTTGCAGGAGTGATTTTGTTTTGGTGTCTTCCGCCTTGCCCGCTTGCATTTGCTGCTGTTGATGTGTCCTTTTGTCTTAAGCAAACACCTGTCACAGATATGACGGCAGTACTTGTTCGCTCACTTACTGCTGGAGTGTCGTGTGTGTGTGTGTGTGTGTGTGTGTGTGTGTGTGGATGAGGTGGCAATGTTCCAGCCTATTAAGCTGCCTGTTTTAATTGAACCACCGCTCTTTCTCAGCACTGTGGTGATATGCAGCCAACTGCTGTTTGTCACGATGTGCGGTGCAGTGTGTTTTACTGTGACAGTAGAGGACTTAACAATGCTCTTAGGAGCACGCAGAAATTAGACTCGCACAGTGGGCTCTGCATATGATTTGTCCAATAAGTATTTCATCGTCTACTCTTTTCACCTGCTTCTTTTCACAGTAGAAGGTGAAGCAGGTTAGTCAGGGAATTCTAACACACCATATGTTCTTTGTGTTATTGAAAAGCCGCCAGATGGATTATGATAGGGTGATATTTAAAATTGATGGTTTGATTCACTGTTTTGCCCCCTTCAATTATTCCTGCAGATTGTTTTGGTTTACTTGACATTTTCTTCCAGTTGCACCTGATGAAATAGCTGTTTATCATTTTGCCTGATACGCTTCAACACTTCTTCCGCCATGCGAGCCATCACATCCCATTGTCATGCTTAACATTTTCTCTTCAGCGTCTGTAGAAATCCATAGAGCATGCTTTCCGAAAAGCTTTTCGCATTGTGGGGTTGGGCTTTTCGGTGTCGTTGTGATTTCACTTGACGTGGCATGTTGACTAGAACAGTTATTGTATTTGTTTGTTACCCAGAGGTTTGATTTGATGTGCAATGATGTGAATTCATTCTGTATTCAGTGGAGTGTGAGATATGACCAACACGATTATGACATCACTTATTTTAAGGGCATCCTTGTTATTTGAAGTACCTTTAAGGAACTCTAAATTACTTGATACAATGTTAATTGATCCAAGTCACTCAATAGCCTTGTGATGCTTTTGTCACTAGATGATGTAATGAAGAGGCATTTAATAATGCTATTCTATAATAACATCCTTTCTTATAATACAGAACAGAAAGTGTTAACATCAATAAATATCCACTGACAGGGAGACGTGCTATCAGATCGTTTTTTGAAACGAACTTGAGTTATTCAAATCACGTTTTTGTCTATTTTAGCCTTGAAATACAATCAAGGCACACAAAAAAGCACTTTATTTCAGACAGTAGTACAACTGTTAACATTCAGAACGGGACATTTGAGGCTGGCCACCTGTCGGCAGAGATTTATTTCCAGGTGTCACACGGAGTGCAGAAAGAGCTGAAACTAAATTGCTTCTTTTACTCCACTCGTTGCTCATGAGAAACACAGCAAGCCTTGATGACTACTATCTCTTGTTCCTCAGCGTAGGAAAGGCTTTTTATGCACAAATACAACAGTGATAGGGAAAACATGTTTTATTTGATATCCTCATTATTCCTTCGAGCCTCTAAAATGGATTGTGAGCTGATAATTGCTGTACTACCTCGAACAAAAGGGCTGACATATCTCTGTTGTGCAGCGTAATGGATTCACCTTTTCCTGATAAACCAATAACCTTCTTATCTGTGAGCATTTCCGTTATCGTGATGCCAATACACGTACTCCTCTGGGGGTTGGAAAATGTCTCGTTTCACCGTGCAGTACAGAAATATAAAACACTGTAGAAATCCCCCCAAATCCCCCTTTTTAAAGAATAAACTCCTGTTGTGACATAACAGGCTTCTAGCTAATACCTTTTATTGTATCTTCAGACTTTCAGCTCAGGGACAGTTAATGTACCGACAAATAAACTGGACACTTATTACTTGCATGCAATGTGCAGCATCCCAGCTTTTCCTGGATAAGACGAGTCACCTTCTAAGAATTGCTCTGCCTTTTGTTTGTCGTTGTGTCTCTGTCTTCTGCAGGCATCATGGACTCGGCCCGAGCAGCACAAGGTATTCTAAATGCATGTCTTTTTCCTACACCCATCCATCTTTCATGTCAGAGGAATCTAATTGAATTCTGGATGGATGCAGATCAACATTCTTGATCAAATCAGGGTCAGGGAGAGTATGAACCCTGAGAAAAATGCAGATGCCTAACAGGCCTGTCTGTCACTATCTATTCATTTGACTTATTTGGGTTTCCATTCTTCAGCCTGTTTCAATGCAAACGTTTGCATGCTTAAATATGACGTATGATTCATCTTCTTGATATCTTATAGATGTGATGCGTCATTCTTTTACATGCAGTTTTCAACCTGTTTTCTGCTTTGTTTTAGACGGATTTGGTTGATTTTAAACTCTTCTCAAATCTGTCTGTCCTCCCACACACGTCTCCAGATCTCACTTGATCTGATGCAAATTCTTATTTATATCTTCAGTTCACAGCTGTAATTTATACGACCAAAGATGAATGAATATCTATGCAATTGAAAATGAAAGATGTCTTTTCAGCCCATGTATCAGAGCCAGGGACTGTTCCTGAAAGAAAGTGTGCATTGGCAAGAGAAAGCGCAGTGTACTTGCCTACTTCACGATTAAATATATGCTTCTACATGTGAGACAAACTATTGTCATTTCTAATTTTAGTGTACCGCACTTGAGGACAGTACAGATCCCTCTTGAAGGCAAATGTGTGCTCTCACGAAGTGTGTCAGCTCATCACCGTTTCAGGTGCAAGATCAAATGTTAGGTTTGCCATTGTTATTTATAATTTTGTACCATTTGACAAGAAATGAATACATATTTTCAGACCATTTGGTTCTTTAAATAGAAAAGCTATTTTCAAATTGCAGGGAGCTCTGCACATCAAGTGAACCCGTCTTTTCCTTTAAAGCCTCTGTAGTTTTGAAAGAGGGTAATTGTTTCCAGCAATCACCATAATCAATGTCAAAGTCAATATTAACATCTCCTCAATAAGAACACCTATGATTACAAGGTCCAAAAGAAAAACGCTATCACACTTTGTATACTGTATAATTATCGGTCGATAACAAAAAGCCAAATCGCTCTAATTTGCTTAAAAAGTGCAGCATCTACATACTCCGATACAATAGGTGGCGCTATACATCTTTTAAAGTATGTTTAATCTTCACCAATTAACGCAGAGAAGAAGAATTAAAGCACACTGACTAGAGCAGTGGTTCCCAAACGGTGTGCCGCGGCACACTGGTGTGCCGTGAGGCAAGTCCAGGTGTGCCGTGGGATTTTGTGACAACCATACGTTATTATTGCAATATACAACTACACAAAAATAATTATTTTTATTTACCATATCAGTACTTTGTAGGTTTATATGTACGTAATCTGCGCGACTTGCGCGTCCACATCTCCACGTGCAGTGCTGCATAAACATGGCTGAGTCAGCGATAACTTTCGAGGGGTGGAGGTATGCCCATTATTTTGAGTTCGTCCGAAGAATAGACAGGAATGTGACGGTGAGGTGCAAACTGTGTCCAGGCCAGAAGCTGTTATCCACTGCTGGAAACACCACGTTAAACCCTATGGTCAAACCTCAACAAACACCTGCAAAGAACACATGCTAAGGTGAAGCTACCGCACATGCTATTTGTTGTTTGTTTATATCACGTATTCTGTTCTTCTTCTCTGTCTTCCGGTTGTTGCCTGTTTTGAATGACAAATACACACTACCGCCGCCTGCTGGTAAGGAAAGTTATTGCCACTCACGCATGCGCAGTTTGTACGTGCTCGGCGAGTAAAGTAACGAGTTACTTTATGTAGATAGTAACGAAGTAGTGTAATATATTACTTTTTAAAAAGTAATATGTAATATATTACATTTTTTTTAGTAACGACCCCATCTCTGGAGTTGGCGTTCGCTACTCTGATTTACATGAAGAACAACAGGAGGTCACGGCTCTCTGTTGAACAGGACTTGCGAGTGGCCTTCTCCTCAGTGCCACCAAGGATTAAAACATTCTGCGTGCCTCGACAGGCACATGTATCTCACTAATTTGTAAATCGGCAAAAATATTTACAATAGCACATGTTTCAATGCTGATTGCTGAAATGTTACATTTATAATTTTTAGTTCAGGACCATGGACAATGCAGCTTCCTTGCATTGACAGTTCTCTGTGCTGAATTTCTGCTGAGTTTCCTTTGCCTCATTTTTAATGTTCTGAGCTGTCTGGTTTAAATGAGTGTGTTGCTGCTTTGATGAAGCCTAATTTGATAACGTTTCAAATTAATTTCTGAAATATTTAGTTAATAAATATTTCATGAGTAATATAGTTGTCTTTTATTTGGCATTAGTAAATAATTATGCACATTTACAGATATTTTACATGATATGAGTGATAACACGTGTTATAAGGGCTATTTTGCACAATAGGTGTGCCTTGAGATTTTTACTTGTCCTTTGGTGTGCCTTGGGCACAAAAAGTTTGGGAACCACTGGACTAGAGTGCCGTCACCGTCAGTTACAACGTTTTTCCTAGTTTCAGAGAAAGACAACACAATTACCATATCCAATATCTCTTTGTATGTACTAGAAAACAACATTAAGAAGAGTCAGATCCGGTCGTTGTGTTTGTTAATAATTCGATTTGCAGATCTATAGAATATTACATTTTCCATTTCAGCTTGTTACATCTTAAACTCTCTTATATTCACATGTGCAAAAGACTTGAACATTGATACTGGCCATAAGAAGCAGGTAATTATTGGTTTTCTAAACGGATGAAAGAAATCCATATTGTGAATCCCTGCTCACTGTGGAAGAACCGTTTTCATCTAGCACAAGCTGACAGTAATGTCTATGTTTGTGTAAAACTGGGATTTACACATGGTTGCACCAACATGTGTATGCATCAGTAGTAATGTGCTGCCATTGCAGTAACACTTTAACCTAGAAAGAAAGGCCAGTGAAACGCATTATTTTGAATATGCATTTAATTACTGAGCTGTAGAAAAATCAGCTTCCGAGTTGTCCACATAGGAGAAAGATAATGCAAAGGACGTGACACTTTCCCCTAAAGCAAGAACGAACACAGCTTGAAAACAGAATTATGGCGAGCTAATTTATTTTATGAACCATAAAATGTGAACTGTTTTCTCACAAATGATATCTCTGCAGCATATTGGCAGCACCGTGGTTTCATGAGTGCATTGGTTTACTTTAATGGATCAGGCAATAATCATTTCCATTTTCTGACAAAATTATGCAAGTTTAATTCCACCTGCACTCTGAATTGATCAGTGTGTGTCTGCCAGATTCCCCATGATTAGCCACAGGAGAGGATTGTGAGCAGGGGGAGTATGAGCCTGCTGAGCATGTTTGTAAGTGCGTAGCCAGCGGAGTGGTCATTGGACAGGGCATGGAAAGGAGAGTACATTCAGGTGCAGGTGTTTTTGTATGCAGGACCTGTTCAGCTTTGATGAGACATGAGTTTAACATGTCCTCAGTGTATCCTCAATGTTCTGCTCGGATGTTCCAGCAGTGTTTCTTTCCTCTGCTAGTGGAGCTGCAGAAGCTGTTAGAGAGCGCTCTGCTGTCAGTTTGCTCTGATTTATTGGAGCCGCTTTTGTCGGAGTCTTTATTTTCCTTCCTCCATCTGTTTTATTGCAGGTTCTCGCAAAGACATGTACAGTTGTATTGTACCTCTTTCTTAGAGGCACAAAAGTATATTTAATGGTTGTTTAATAAGGATGTTGCCTATAGACAACCACTCTGGCACGTTGTGCATTCATACCAAAAATCAATTGCTATAAAACATTAATGAATCGCAACATTAAATTGCAGTAAAGACACCATTTTCCTCCCCATGATTATATTTGTCATGGGCTTCATATGCGGAATGAAGGCTGGAGGGAAAGTAACCATATGTTGTTTTGGCTGGGATGATGTGTTGATGCTGCTTTTTACAAAAGTTGGAGAACACAATTAAAAAGGACTCAGTATTGGAGCATATAGTAACTAGGACGTTGTGAGGATACATGGAGTGGCATGTTGCACAGATGCAGGAGTCAGAGGCGGTGCCTTAGGGTCACCTGAGAATGCTTCCTGCACAGGGGTTAGAATAAAAGGCTAGTGTGTTATGTAAGTCTCTCCCTGGGACTGCTACCCGCTATGCATAATGAATGCCTCAGACATGCTTTGTCTATTGGATTTGAATACAAACTAACGAAGGTTTCTCTTACATGCCTCCCCAGACTGGGCCCTAATTCAATATGTGTAAAAGCACCCGTGCTATTGTTTAGCCTGCAGCTTGGATTAAAGCCATGAAAGCGGCCAACAGAGAGGCTTAAAAATGTAGTTCTGTAGCACCCTTTAAAATGAACAATTTACAAAAACATCAGAGCTTACTGTATAAAAGAGTCCTATATAAAAACAGTTGCATCTCCCAAATTCATGAAATAAAGTCGAGTCTTTGTGAGTTTGTGAGCTCAATTCAAACATTAATTAACTGTTCATTTGAAGATAATTAAGGTTTTGAAAGAGACATCATTCATTTCAGTAAGTAATGTTATGAGTAAAATCCTGTTGGTCCTTCTTCAAAAGAGGACATATTGTCCCTCTGAAAGCGTACACCCACAGTTTAGGGTCACATGACAACAGCAACCACAACAACAGTTGTTGACCCTAAATGTCATGAAGCCACTTATGGTCGGATGTTGTAACCCTGCATATCAAGTTAATGGAACCAGGTATCTGTAGAGGAGGAAGGACATGTACACGTCTCATTAGCCAGCTGATCGGTTACTATGCCCCTGGTTTGTGACTTGTGCAGTTTACTAACAATGGGGAATATGCTTGGTTTAAAAAGCAATGCAAAAAACTCTGGCAACACTCCGCTAACCTAGTGTGTCTTAACATTAGTTATCTACGTGATGAGAAATGTACAGGGTACCCCAGACTTACCTAACTCCCCCACCTCTCAACACACACACATTAACAAAGGTCAGACAGAACAAAATAAGTAGAATGACTTTCTACTCAAGGCAGTCAATTGCAGGCTCCTCATCAGCAACAGGCCCAGGGTGAGAGAGCGAGAAGACTTCCTGTGCCTCCTTTATGGTCGGCCCTGGCTGCTGATAGGCCAGCTGAGGGTGAGAGGATCCAATCAGCCATCAGACTCAGGTGCACAGGCAGATACCGATCAGCTGCTGATTAGCTGTGCAGAAGACGGGGAGAAGAGAGAAACACAGGAGGGAAGGACAACCACACAAGTACAGCCTGCCTGGCACGTAACACCCCCACACATATGAATCCAAACAGTATGTTTGGACCTGACAATGAACATTTTCTATTTACATAGCACGAGATAGTGCATCGGCAAGAACATTATCGGACCCCTTTTTATGGCTTATGTCAAGGTTGTAGTTCTGGACAATCAATGACCAACGCATAAGGCGTTGATTGTGGTTGTACTGTACATCCTTGAAAGAAAAACCAACGGATTGTGATCAGTGTATACCTTAATAGGTTTTACACTGGAGCCAAGATACACCTCAAAGTGCTGCAAGGCAAACAATAGAGCTAAAGCTTATTTTTCAATAGTAGAGTACTTCAACTGATGTTTGTTAAACTTTCGGGAGAAGTAGCTCACGGGGTGATCGATGGCCTGTGCATCTTCTTGTAGAAGAACAGCACCTGTCCCAACTCCACTGGCATCAACCTCGAGCTTGAATGGCTTCGAAAAGTCTGGTGCAGAAAGAACAGGAGTACAACACAGAATACCTTTTAGGCTCTCAAATGACTGTTGACACTCACCGGACCAAACGAAAGGCTTTGAGGGACTGGTCAACGTAGTGAGTGGGGCCGCCACCGAGGAGAAGTTTCTGCAGAAACGGTGATAGTACCCTGCCATTCCTAGGAAGCGGCGAAGTTCCCTCCTGGTGGATGGCACTGGGAGGGAGGCAATTGCCCTGATCTTTGCATCAGCAGGGCACACCTGCCCTCGACCAACCTGCTGACCAAGGTAGAGAACGGTACCTTTTCCAAACTCACATTTGGCAAGGTTAAGCGTTAGGGATGCGGCCGACAAGCATTTAAAAACTTCTCTTAAGGTAGACATGTGGCTAGACCAGTCATTAGAATAGACAACAATGTCGTCCAGATATGCCTTTTGTTTGGCACAATCCTTTGACTCCTCCTCCTCACCAACAGAGTGTTTCAATTATATGTCCGTTCGGTTCAGGGTTTACACAAAATAAACCTTTTGTCAACTGTTACGCTGACTCCCTCATTTTTATTGGTTGTATGTTATTGTCTCCAGGTCCCCTAGACCTTAGTGGGGACGTAACAGGTATGTAAAGGAAATGCTGTGCTATCTAGCGCCATGCATCAGCATATTAAACAAGTTGGTTAGCCCTCTGTGTGAAAAGCTTGGGATGGTTTCTAGTGCCTTCTGTCATCTATTATTGATAAGCTCCCCTGTTCTGTCAACTGTGTCCTTATGTTTCCACGTCTTTACCGAGCAGACTGTGCCTTTTTCATTAACGTAATGTCTCTTCTGCTCATTAAAGGCAGGCTTTCTTTAAGCTTTTTTTTTTTTTCAGGTCACATCTTTTTGCAGAAATGTGCTTTGTAGATATGCAAAATGGAAATGGAAAATAACTGGTGCGAATGGCATGTTTTTTTCCCCCTAAATCAAGCCATTTTCTGCTCCCATTTAGAGTGTGGATGGGAATGTAGTGGTGAGGAGTGATGCTCGTGTGTCCTCCCTCACTCTGAAGTATGTCAAGTATACAGATGCGGGTCAGTACCTCTGCTCGGCGCGCAGTGCCATTGGAGAGGATGATCAGACTGCATATCTGGAGGTCCGCTGTAAGTATTTCCTTTCCAGTGATTCACCCGTTCAAACTGTACAAAACAAACATTTCCTGAGCTCTTGAATGTACTTTTATTTAAGGTTCTGACACACCAAACTCACATAAAAGAACTAGCCGATTTTCGTGTCGCCTCACGTTGACTACGCCTTGCCCGAACAGCCGCACTCGAACACATTGCTAAGATTATAACCAAAAGTTAACATCTGCTCATCAAGAGAGGAAATAACTCTCTATGACAGCAGGCAGCAGTATCTATATATTCATCATACAAAAAGGAAAACTGGAAAACATATGATCAGCTTCCAGAGAACATACATTACATGTCACTTGTTAGGCGCTTTTATCCAAAGTGACTTACATACTCAATACTGTGGGAAATCCCCACAGGAGCAATTTGGGGTGAAGTGTCTTGCCCAGGGACACAACGACATGCTGACTGCAGTGGGGTTTGAACCTGTGCCCCCCAGATCCAAACACCAATGCGCTAGACCACTGCGCCACACGCTTCCCATACGGAGCTCTGCATCACTCTCAGTTTTCAAAAAAAGCCTCAAGACCCACCTGTTCCGCACATTTTACTGACTGTCCTTTATTTTATTTATTTTTTATTCTAACCTTTTATGCTCTCAACCTTTTTTATATTACCATATTTTATTCAATATGCTCCTTAGATACATTTATTTTTATTTTTATCCATATAGCATTGTGAAGCACCTTGAGATGACGTTGTTTTTAAAGTGTGCTATATAAATGAAATGTATTATTATTATTATATACATTAAAACAAAGCATTGTTACTCCCCACTCCAGGCTAATAAGTGCCTATGTTTGTAGGACAAACATTCAACAAACGTTCACCTCAAAATGAATCGGCTTGGTTTGTCGGGGGCCTTTAAAACTCACTTATTTTCGACACTGTTAAACCACAGAACTCAGAACAGTTTGGCAGGATGTTTGTATTACATACATTTCTTCCACTAGATGCCCCTAAGATCCACGGTGCCGTGGCAGTGTACACCTGGGAGGGGAATGCTGTGAATATCAGCTGTGAGGTCAAGGCTCATCCCAGTGATGTGTCTATCGCCTGGCTGAGAGACGGACTGCAGCTCCCCAACGCAAACACCACCAACATTAAGATCTTCAGGAGTCCATCAGCCAGCTACCTGCAGGTACACACACACACACACACACACACACACACACACACACACACACACACACACACGTGTCAAACCACTATGTACACTTCATAAAGTAAATGTATACACACTCCTTCCATGCACACACACATATACCCCTTGTGTCATCAACATTTCATGAGACTCCGAGTGAGGGGGGTTTTCTTTCAGCTCCATTGTGAAAAAAATAAATCTAATGAATAATTCAGCAGCAGGAGAGCTCACAGCAACAAATACAAATAGGCTACTGTAATGGACAAATAAAAAGGTCACCTTCAGAGTGTTTGACACTCAACTTTGTTTATCTGTTTTGCTATGTTGCCCTTCATTTTGTTGCTTTGTTTTTCGTCTCCAGATAACCCCTGAGTCAGAGAATGACTTTGGGAGCTACAACTGCAGCGCCTCAAATGAGATGGGCACCGAGTCCAAAGAGTTCCTGCTCATCCAGGCCGGTCAGTGACTCTCTGAGCTTTGTTTTGAATTTATTTGTGCTGTTTGAAGGAATTATTGATGATATGTCAGGCGTGAACTTTCTATAAATACATCGGACAATGTTTTTCAGTAGTAACAAAACACAAAGAATCCCATTTCATTGTAGCGCATGAATTCAATTACAAAGCTTTTCTGGCTTCAGGCTTAACAAAGAGATTTCACCCATATTCACAACACATTAGACCAAAAAACTACCGTAACGTGAGATCACACAGAGCTGTGTTTGTTTGGATGGATGGTAGATTTAGATGAAAAACCAACATTGGATAATTCAACGTTCCTTCCCTCTGGTTGTTTAGAAAACTACAGCGGCTCTGAGGATTTTATTTAGTATTGAAAGAAATGAAAACGGAATATATTATTGTGCAGATCCAGGAGTTTGTGTGCATTTAAGAATTAAAATACACTTTATCAAACGGACAACATTTGATTATACCATCAACTCACCTGCAGCTGTATATTCACCAACACATTAGACAAATGGAGCGGAGGGGCAGAGAGTTAATGGCACTCTTAGGCCACAATCGGAAGAAAATGAATCTACAATCTTCCCTCCAAGCCAACACGAGCAACCGCAGTAATCACAGTGCTTTCAATTCGCAGATCAAAGTCAGTCAATACAGCGCTGTGCTAACACCAGACTGTGTGAATTTATAACAGCCGGCCACAGTTTTTGAAACATTGTAATTTTCCATCAAATAGAGGGAACCGTGGTGAGTGGATGTGATTTTTTTGTTTTCATCATATAACTTGAATGCTAATAATAATAATCATAGACTTTATTTATATAGCCCCATTCATGCAGCCCGAAGTGCTTTACAGAGTAAGCAGTTACAAAATAAAGAGTGAGGAACAAGTTATAAACAAAGAGAAAATGGTTTGAAAATGTCTAAAATTACCACCAGATTGGTAACTTGTGTTTTAATTCTTGGACATGTTGGAAAGAACTGACTCTACTCTCTGCCGTTCTGATTTTGGACCTACTTGTAGAATTTCAGTTTTTTGCTAGTTTCTTTAAAAAAAAAGTTATCATTCATCCAATTGTTTACCTCATTGAGACAGGTAAAAAGGTTATTGGTTTTCAGGTGAAATGGAAATATACAATTGTGGCTCAACAGCGTAACAGTGATATTCAACATTGTAATGGTTTATTATGGTGCCCAAGGGGAGCATGTATAATGAGAAGAGGATGAGACATTAATCAATTAATTATGTATACTACAGTTCAGACATTTTCTCTACAAATACAACATTTATGATGGCATAGAAAAACATCTCAATGAATAACAGCTGTTATAGATTATGGATGTTTACATTGTATATTTGAAACATTGCTTTGTGCAAAGGTGTCTGAATGCTTCTCATGTCTTAATTTTTCCAGCTCAAAGATGCATAATAATAGCTCCAACAAGCCGCTAACTATTTTCTGATTTATCTTGAATCTGTTCATCAAAGAAGCATTTGATTGTTTTCCTACTGTTTTTATTTTCTGAAGTAGTCAAGCGTCTGCAGCGTTCAGTGCTTGAGAAACAGCAGCACGGTCACAAATCAGGCGTTTCTCACAAAGCCGAAGCTGTTTTTCTCGATGGGTTTCTGACTGTTGTGACCTGTGAGTTCAGTCTGTTATTATAACAGAACAATGGAGTTTGGCAGCATTGGCGTGCTAAAACTTTACAGTTGTTATAAACACACTGCATTTGCTTTGCTTTACCAGAGGTGCCATCAGCTCCATTCCTCAGCGAGGTGAGGCCCTTCTCCACCTCGGCACAGATCGAGTTTGGGGAGCCCGAGTCCACCGGGGGGGTTTCTGTCCTGAAGTACAGGGCGGAGTGGAGGGCTCAGGGCCGAGGCACCTGGTCGCACCGTTCCTATGCAGTCGATGATGGTAAGAACACAAAACCAAACAAAAAATAACGGTGTGAAATGTGATTTTCTTTTTAGGAGGAAAGTGATTAGGGATTTCAAGCAAGTTGCAATTCAAACAAAATCATTTAGAGATATATTTATATTTTCTTTCATGTCTGGCAGTAGAAATGGCGCCACACTTCCTTTGTTAGTCTTATAAATATCTAGAAGTGTGCGAAGTGTGCAAGTACCCTGAATTAAATGAAATTGTATTAACTTTCACTAAATAATACATTAACGTCAAATTAGACAATTATTACATAAATAAACATTCGTAATATTAGAAAATAGCCATTTATTTATCATTAATATAAAGTAATCCAGTTCCCAAAAGTAATGTATTCATGATTATGACTTGGTATACCTGGTTCAGACCTTTTAGACCATCTCTAAATAGACTTATCTGTTTAAACATTGTTGGAATGAAACGAGAATCCAGCTAATCAGTGTTTACCCGTGATGGAATTAATTATTGTTTAAACACGCACTGTTTGAACTGGGAGTGAGTTTGTTTCACCGCTTGGGATCAAGGTGTTCTCAACAGGGATTGCTCTGCCTCTGATCATTGTTACAGGCTTCAGCGCTGAGGCCACTGTCACAGGTCTGAAGCCAGAGACCAGCTACGAGGTGAGGCTGTACGCCATCAACGGAAAGGGGGAGGGGGAGAGCAGCCTCCCCAAGTTCTTCAAGACGGAGCCTGTCCGTAAGTTTCTCAGTTTACAGCACACTGCGGAGCCTTTATCACACCCTCGTCCTCACAAACACAACACCTGAAGTCCTCTCTTCTATGGAGAGGAAACTGCATTTAAAAAAAACCTTCCATACGAAGAAATTCAAAACTTCAGTGCATCACAACAAAAGGTGTTGACCTGTGGAATAACAGTAATGATGAGCTGAAATATTGTCATGAATGGTTATGAGCGGGACCTGTGAACTCATACTTGTTATTTCTTGTCATTGTAAAAGTTATTTCTTTTTTGGTTGTTTTGTAAAACAAAATTATTTGTTTTCAACATGATGAACATGACGCTGATGACGATGACCTAATCTTTTATTTTCAAGAACAATTTACGCTAGAGGGGGTAGGACCAGAAAATATTTTTTAAGCTTCTTCTTGCCCCTGTTGAACATGACAGAGACTATTTGAGAATTTATTTATTTTAATTTTGTTGTACCTTGAACGTCTTTGTTATAATTATTATTCTAAAAAATACAACAAAAAAAAAGTTTCTGACATGTTCAATAAATTGACTAATAATAAAAAAACTGCTTGTCTATCCCAACACTGATCTATAAACACTTGGTGAAGTGCAGTCAGCTGCTGGACAGCCACACACAGCGTCTGCACTGAGACTGTTTCCAGCAGTTTCTTCTCATTACATTACATTTCATTTAGCTGACGCTTTTATCCAAAGCGACTTACAATAAGTGCGTTCAACCAGGAAGAAACAAACTCAAAAGCAAGAATCCTGCAGGTACATTTTCCTTTTTATTAGCCCAATCAGATGAAGTGCTGCTGCATTAGCTTCACTTAAAGGCAAACCCTTTGTAAGTGGTACATACCGAAGAGTTTATTTTATTGCAAAGATTCAGTGGAAATACTGGTGAGTTTTCAGTCTTCACTCAAGCTTTTTCCTTTTCCAAGTTAGTTGTGTGTGTTAAGGAGGACAGCAGAAACTACCTCACTCAGTTTTTTTCCATGATAGGAAGTTGAAATCTAAGAATTCACGAAACATTTGTGTCACCTTCTCCAAATCGTTTCACACAATCTGGCTATTTTACACATTAAATTGCCCCCATCTCTTCACACAGGTCACACATGTCTCACAATGAACGAAAGAAACATCTTCCGTTTACAGTACTTTAGTACTCTCATTATGTGTTTGCGAACAATTGAACAGAGAATTATTCCTCAGTTCTTCAAATGGCAGCCTGGAAGTGAATCTGAAAGCCATTATTGAGTTGTGAGCGCCCTCTGGTGGCTGTGGAGGAGAGTTTTTGGAAGAGAAGCTGCATCACTCGCTTGGCTTCACATCGAATGTGCCTGTTGACTCATAATTGATCCCATTTTCATTGTCAGACATGATTCAGTGTTGATCATCTCCTCATATGTTGATTTGATCGTCTATATTTGTATCCATTTGCTCATCTGTCTGTTGTATGCATCAGGCAGCACTTGAATGAAGTGCTGCATCTCTAATTGCTCACCTTCCATTTCATTTTGTTTTCATTTAATCGTTTATTTGAAGAGGGACATTGATGAACATTTAAAACAAATAATGCTTTAAAACGTAAACATGCCGGATTTGAGCTTTTGAGCTAATTTCCATCCGTAGTCCCGTCACAGACAACATTTTAGAACATGACATTTATATACATAGCAAAAATAAATACATGATATGCAGGAAGAGCATGAGCAGCATACAAGCATTTACCACATGGCAGTACAATGTAGCAGCTACGACATATCAAGTGCAGGAGAAGATACAAGAGCTACATCAAGTGCAAGAGGAGATACCTTTTATATATTAGGTGGTTCAAAATGCTGTTTATCAGTATCAAACGAGTAAATCAAATAAATAGCTACTATGTAATTAGTTTAATCCCACTCATATCAACACAGCACGATAAATATTGTTATGATGAATTCATCAACTCAGATTTGTTTTAACACCATCGTCAATCTGTTTTTAGTAACAGGCAATCGCAAAAGTCATTGTCTTTTTTTGTTATTTAGTGACTTAAAATGTTAATGGTTTATCTTAAATGAATCGATTATTCAGGACTAAGACGGCAGACCAAATCTTAATGTTTTGTCACCATTTTTTTCAAAGCAGTATTTAACATTGGACAACAACTGAAGAACTGCGGTTCAATATTTTCCTTGGATAACGTTTTTGTTTCCACTTCCTGCCACCTTTGAAGCCTCATGTGTTCCTGTGTGCTGCATCTGTCTCATTCTAACACTAAATGTGGGGATCATTAAAATAAGAGGGTTACTTTCCTCTTGCTTGACTGCTGCAGTTTGGCAGAAATGCGTTTGACTCTCCAGTGAAGTGTTATTACAGAGATTGACGCATTCATTTATGCAGACAACTGAATCTGATTGCCTGATATCTTCTCTTTATGTCCCTAGACGGCATTTTTCATTTTTTCACTGAGGAAACAGGTTTGTTCTGTAGAGAGGACAATATAACATTAGTTTTTACTGCTGTAGCTGTTTCGTTTCCCACAGGATACCCCCATTAGCTGCATTTATAATCACTTTAGAGCATAGCAAATATTGTTTTTTAGAAACTGTGACCTTGTATTACCCGATTAGAAAAGCAAACTCCTCTGTGTCTGTCATCCGTAGATTCTATCTCACCCACATTGTTTGAGTTGACAGCCAAGTTATCAAATGATGACTTTTACTATCACTTTGATTTGTGGCTTGTGAATTAATTGGCTTTAATAACAGTATAATGAATTAACACCAAATCTTTCTACTTCAAAAGCTGCAAATATCCGCTCTGGCTTCATCATTTTAGTGTCATTTGGAAATGTTTTAAATGTGGTCCTTTAGCATTGTTTAGTCACTTACCTTGCAAATTATAAAGTCACTTAACTCAAACGAATAAAGCTGTTAGAAGTCTACTGCACTTTTCAGATTGAGAACCCAAATAGATTATCACTTTATTGATTATTAGTATGAAAAGCTGTGTTGTGATTCCACATCTTTCTGTTTTTGCTTCTCTCCAGTTCATTTACGTTTTCTCTACCTGTACCTGTGTTCTGTCTCTCATGTCCTTCTTCCTCTTTCACTCACACGTGTCATTCTATGTGACTGTTATTTGCCTTGCATGGTTCTGATGGTCCCCTCCACTCTGCAGAAGGTAACACTGGTGCAATAGAAGATCCCTTCACTTTAACCGGCAAATCCCAAAGTTAAACAACACATTAATTGCCTCTATGCAGTCATGTAGTAAACGTCTAACTCAATCCCATTAATCAGTCATGTAGACACTTGCCTCAGCAGGATAAATGAGAGGGAGCCAGAGCTGTCTTCACGGTAATCTATAACAGTCAAGAGTGTTTAATATCAGCATCACACGGGTGGTATTGATAGCAAAACGGGTGGTATTGAAAGCAGGCTACCAACCCTACTTTTGGATGAGTTTTTATAAATCAGGTGTGTGTCTTCTAATCACAGGAAAATCCTCATCATGCCGACCACACAATTCGTAGAAATATACCTCTACAGCCAGCTCTGGTTCTCTATCAATAGCTTGTAGTGTTGCTGCTGAGAACAATAGCTACCCATTGTTTATCATGTTTAATCTTAAACTGCATTACACGCTAAACACTTGGACCAAACGTAACAATTGTTTTGAAGGCAAGCCACATGAGTCCGAACATGAACACTAACCATAATACATATTTTCTCTTGTTGTAAATAATGCTTTATTTATTCACTCTATTCACAAGACAGGGTACCAAAGTGCCTCACAGTTACACATAAGAACGTAACAAGCCTGGTTAAACATTTGAGCTTTTTAAATTGAAAAGGATTAATATTGTTTGAGAATAACAACATATCAGGGTCAGGAAGCATCAGCTGTTTTTGGGAAATAAATAGGTCTTGAAACACTGAGGGGTTTGCTGATCTGCCCCCCAGAGGGAGAGACAAATTGTGGAACACTTTAAAAGTAATTGGAAGGTTTTTGATTTCAGCACCAGAGTCCTAGTTAGTAATAATGAATACTTAATAACTTCCTGAATGTTTCTCAGAGTTCAATTGGGAATAAAAAAATGACCCTGAAGTTTCTCCAACCCCATCTTTTAGTTAGAAGTCTACAGTGAGTACATTTGTGAAAATGTAGAGTCTGATATTAAGCAAAGACCAGGACTTATGTATCTTACAAGATCCAGCCCCTGCTATCATTCAGACAAAAGGAGACACTTTTAAAAGTTTCAAAGTTCCCATTTAATAGATACATAAAGCTGTGCATCATCAATAATATAGATTGATGATAGGAGACGGATAATGTGTCTTAAAGGGAGCAAAAATGACAGCATTGATCGCGGGTAACTTCACATGTCATAGGAGCAAAAACACTTAGATAGATACAAAGAACTAGCAATTAGATAACTTAATGCAGTCTTACAGTTGTCATGTGATACATTTCAATTTGACTTAATTTTTTAGCTTTATGTTTAAACATTGATTGTGTAAATCAGTAGCGTTTAAGACAGTGACAACATTGTTTATTGAATTCTAAGTGTGTTTCAAGGCACAAACATATTACCCTGCAAATCTTTCATTCAGAAACGTCATTCATAATCAATTCCCCTGGAGCCTTGTATGACACTGGGTGAATGTCACTCAGCCACTGACTCAGATTAGCATGCGGCGGTGTGTCATTGGTAATTAGTCTGACTGAGACAAGCCATCTTGAGGGGGGCGATGAGGAAGGGCAAGAGTCTTTAAGGACAGCCACAAAGAGGCCAGTTTCACGGTTGTGGCTCTTATTTTCTAAACAAGATATTTGTTTTTCTTTGCTCTATTGGTCTTTAAAGGCACTGGTGGTCAGACACAATGTTCTGCCAATAAGATAGGCCTGTCTTTCTCAACATCTTTCTAATGATAAGCCTTTATATAACCTCTGTCTTGTTCCTATAGGGCATCCCAATCCTCCTAAACTGGACGGGTCACTTCTGCCCAAAGGCAACTCCCTCAAAGTCAGCTGGACCAAGCAGGACGACGGCGGCTCGCCCATCGTACATTACCTCATCCGCTATAAGCCAGTGAGTACAGCCTTTAGAGCGGAAGTCATTGGTCTAAAGAAACAACTACTTTCATAATCGATTCATATTTTCTTTTAAGCAAAATACTTTTTGCTCCTCAAAAATGAACATTTGCCGGTTGTGTTTTAATGTTGTGATATTAAACTGAACAACTGTTATTTTCACTATTTTGCCAAGATGTTATATTCCAAAAGATGAATTGGTTCATCGAGAAGTTAAAACATTTCAGATGAATAATTAATGATAAACTTAGTTGCAGCCGTAATGGCGTCTAAAGAGTCTTCTTAAGTCTAACATCTTAAAGAGATATAATGCACAGTGTAAAAAGATTAGTGCAGGACTGTCCTGTTCAAACCTTCATGTTATTGCATGCAGAGTTGAAATGATTATTCGATAATTAGTCGACAGAAAGTGTATCTGATATAACGCTAATCGATTACTCACTTTCAAGGCAGTTTTCAAGCAAAAGTGGACAAAATATTGTCAAAGTTATTAAATATGAAAATTGTGTTTTTTTCTTGTCAGAGATCAAAGTAAAATGTTGGTTGGCTAAAACTAAAAATTCTATACGTTTGAAAATGTTGATGTGGACATTTTCATAATTGTTTGAGGTTCTAAAGACAAATGGATTCATATATTTTGATGGTTTATCTCAAGGGGTTTATCCCAATGAATTTCTATATATATATATATATATTTTAAGAAGGTAATCTGTATATTATAATATTGAAAAAGTTAGTTGAACTGTATCTCTCTCTGCCTTCTCAGACGGAGATAAAGGAGTGGAAACCCGAGATCCGGATGCCCAGAAACAGCGACTACGTGAATCTGAGCGGGTTGGAGTGGGACACGGAGTACAACGTGTTTGTGGTGGCAGAGAACCAGAAGGGGCGGTCCCAGCCGGCCACCATGTCCTTCAGGACGGCCCCCGAGCCAGATGCCATCGCAGGTACTCTCCCTCAGAATGGAACTAAACAACCAGAGAACTGTGGAGCCAAACTCAAAGCTCAAAACCAGTCGCCACGCTCTATTTCTAACTCTAGCTCTGAAAGGTGAATGACAACTAAATAAATCTACAGGGAAAAAAAATAGATTTCCTGAACGGCGGTGAGCCAGAAATGATTTTCCGGCTGAATTTTCCCACTTTAACGTTTTGACAGCCCTTGCGAAATGAGCTTGAGTTTGCGCTCGCAGAACTGCGACAGGCTCTTTCCACAGAGGATAAAATGATTTCCTCTGAATGATAGTATTTGTCCTTTAGCTTTGTTTACTGCTTTAAATGGTAGCCAGAGTGGACAGTTTGTCCCTGTGTGGAAGCAGTCCTTAGATTGAACCTTGATAACCGCTGATTAACTTGTACCTCCAAGTCTTAACTGCAGCTGAAGGTTTTACAAAGCTGCTCAGATTCCCTTTAGGTGCTAGACGCCGCCGAGTGCTTTGCTGAAACATGGCAACAAACCATTATGTCTTTTTCTCACTTCCTTTCTAATTCATTTTCCAATCTAAAGCATTCCCGCTCACCCACCACCACACTCACCATCTAGTCCACAGTGTGTAGTTTCCCCGTTCGTGCTGTGCTTTTGCTTTGAGGTGTTGCTGTATTTTTTTTCTTTCTTTCTCCCTCAATACAAGAAATCTTTTTTTTTTACATTTGGTTTTCAGACCTGACACATTTTCACTTTCTCTCTTCCTCTGTTTTCCCCGCCCTTCTCTTGTTTTCCACTTTGTTTCCCTTCATTCCCCCCCTCTCTCTGTCCTTTTATTCTCTCTCTCTGTCTTTTGTCCCCTCTCAATGTTCCTGCTCTCTCGCCTGATCCTGGACATTGGTGTGGTGGACCACGTGAACATTTCCGTCTCGCCCTGTGTGCGTTTTGGTGTGGTCAGGGTTGTCCTCCCGCTCCTCAGCCACTCAGGGCCGTTCATCCGTGACATGCACTTTGGCATCACTCATCATGTCCCTCATCACTGTGGTCCTGATCTCATAGTTTTCATGGGGATTTCACACCATAACTGTGGAGCAGCGCTGGCCTTTCTCAGGCCTCGCTGTCTCTCTGGACGCTTTCACTTCTTAAAAACAGACTTTGTCCATGACAGACGTGTCTCTCTATGTCTCTATGTTCTGGGAGAGGATGCTGAACCCAAAGCATTGGATATCCTCCTCCTCAGCAGAAGCAACAACAGACAACTGCCAGTTTACAGTAATGAGCAATAGTGGAATAAGGTTATATTTAAAAAAACAATAGATAAATAGCTGAGTGTCCTGTCCGTTTACACAAACCCTGTATTATATAATTGAATTGCTCACAAAAGGATTATATGTAATGTCAAGGTTTGTAATATTAACGTTTACACACAACACCTAACTGAAAAATGTTTTAATAATAATATTGGATTGGTTTGAAAAGCTGTAATGATCTCAAAAAAACTGTGCTGTTTACATATGTCTAAAATCTATCATGCATTTAATGTTTATCACATATCATTCAATAATAGATGTTTTTATACAATTGACTATGGAGGGTGCTTCACTCAGATGCATTTTATTCTCTAGCATATCTTCCTTTAATATTGGTATCTAAAGGTTTGTAATTGTCTAGAAACAGAGAGGATATTTGAGTGTGGATTTTACAGAAAACATGCGTCATAGCCTTTTGCGATTTTTGGAAAAGCCTCAAGTTTATTTTCGTCCATAATTATCCTGCCTTTCAGGGTAATAGCAATACAGTGTACTCTTTGGTTTGCTCTTCTTTCTAATACCAAATAAATGGGTTGGATATGTTATTTTTACATGTGTTTTTTAACGAGAGCTGTTATACATTCTACACAAACTTCACAATGCATCCAAATTCATGCCAAGACAACAAACTGTCTCATAGCAGGTGAGTTGTTTTTGTTTTATGGAACTTCTTGTGGTCACTGTAGCGTAGCTGCACTTTTATTCAGTTGTTCCTGGGTGTTTGTTTGAAAGTGTCACGCTGCAGTTGTTCAGCACTCTGCCTCTCTTGTCTCTTCTCCAGCAGATTTGGGCGATGAGGCGGCGCTCTCCATGGGCATCATGCTCTGGGCAGGGATTCTTGTTATAGCATTTGTACTCCTGCTGCTAGCTGTGGATGTCACCTGTTACTTTGTCAACAAATGTGGCCTCATCATGTGCCTCTGCGGTAAATCAAGCACCGGCACCAAAGGGCACAACCTGGAGGAGGGCAAGGCGGCCTTCATGTGAGTATCAGCGACATCAAATTCATGCAGACACATTTCTTAAGCAGTTACCGTTACCCTTGCACAGATTCAAATTAAGAAAAAAAAGTAATGATCGGATATATCAGATAATGTTATCCAGAGAATATATCCAGAATATATCCAGATACAGAAGTCATATGTGTCATTTGTATTTATTTTGTTTATTTAGAAAGGGGCAGGTCACATAAGATTTTATTCTTCTCCCTGCTCCTTTTCGCTCAATGGTGTTTTGGTAGAGTCATGTTTTGTGGCAATTATTGTACATCTGGTTTTGCGTACCACGAGCAGGACAAATAACAATGAAATGAAATATGCCTTAAATCAATATTAAGCTTCTGCTGGATGTATAAATGGCTAACATTGCCAAAAAGAAAAGAAAAAATGATGTTAAAAGTATGTCCAGTTCTGAAAAAGAGTAAATAAATCTTAATTGTTTTTGGTAGACTTTTGGAAGTTATTGTTAGGTGTAGAATAAACAAAAACTATTCTGATCACATAGTTCTTTATTTTATGTTACTTGCATTTGCCGACTGCTACTTTAAAAGGTCACTTCCTACATTCCCCAGAAGGCCTTCAAAGACTGACAGTGATGATGATGAAGAATCTTAGCTTAAGGTTTGACGTTGAGGCTAGTGAAGCAAGATATAATCGGGGGGGGGGGGTTTGCCATTAAAGAAAAACGGTTGTGCCTCTTTTGAAAAACCAACACGTCGTTGTTGTGACTGCTGTGGATTAGAGTTCGCTTTGTAATTATCGGCAAGACAGGGAAATAAACAAATCAATCAAACAGGCCCATGGATGAGACTTAGTTTTTAGAGTAGATTTCTCCTTCAGTCAAAATATATAAGATGCTGGCTTTAAGTGATGCGTCGAACAAATACTCTCATGTGCAAAATAAGGCCGTTTTGAATCACTTTAAGAGGGAAGTTGCCTTGTGTATTGATTCGTGCTACATACAGCCACTGTTGGACCAATAACTGTTTAATGAGATATCTGTTGCCATTTTACCAAGTGTTTTTCTCTCTATGTCCTGCAGGAAAGATGAGTCCAAAGAGCCAATAGTGGAGGTCAGAACAGAGGACGAGTGCACAGCCAATCACAACGCAGCAGGACCGACAGAACCCAATGAAACCACACCTCTCACAGAGCCAGAGTGAGTAAAGACAGCCCCCAAGCACACAGCCTTCAACTGCTCAAGTCCTTTTTATTTAGCTGTTGTGCATTGCACTCCACTTCTAAGAATAATTATCAAATTCGACAGCAAACAATTCGACCCGTTTAAAAAAAGAAAACATCATGTCATTCTTGGGTGGAGTCCACTGAACTGTGTTGCTTTTCTGTTTGTATTCCCTTTCAGAGGGATTACTACTCTTTGTGTTTCTTCTCCATCCTTTAGAGACGTGTCTCATTGTATCAAGGTTGAAGCAATACCAGTTAAAGACACTAAAGCTTGTAGTCCTCTTGAGTGTGGTCAACTCACATGAAGCCATCTCTCATTATTAGCAGGAGAATCAGAGAAATCAGACGATACAGTGTGAGACTGTCACTAGTACTGTTTAACCCTTACGGGTGGTGCTGTAGTTACCTACGGGAAGCCTGGTGCTTTTTTACGGACGTTAGTTGTCCTAGTGAGCGTACTTCATGTTGGTGTGTGTATGGGATGTATCCTTCAATGTCCACTCACAGCATGATGCCTTCTTTTGTTTCTTTTTCTCACTAGGCTTAATTGTTGCTGTTTTTAAGTTGCTTTGTCTATGTTTGTGTGATTTTGATTAAGTTAACTAACCCCTATGCATGCTCTCGTGCGAGCCACCCTTCCTCTGTCACAGTCACCCTGGTGTCTAGTCTGTGTGTCTCTGTTCTCTCCCTGCTCTCTCAGGCTGGCGGCTTTCACTGCTGCTCTGGCACTGGACACGCTCTCCTCCGTAGCCACCAACTCTGACACAGCCACCGCGACAATTGACCCCTCTCAGGACAGCCCCTCTAGCGAGACCACTACCCTCACTTGTAGCCTGTCTACCCTGGCCAACGACCCCTCACCCACCCCCATCCTGGCCCCGGCCCCAACTCCAGAGTCCAACACGGCCCCGCCGCTTCCCCTCATCTTCACCTCGGCCATCGAAGCTAAAATGGCCCCGTTAGTAGAACAAAGAGGAAGTAACGCCCCCGAAGAACTGGAGAAGATAACCACTCCTCCTTCTAGCCCCGATTGGGCTAAGGCGGCAAAATCCGGGACGCCGATACCCCCGAAGCGTAGAAACTCTCCTAAACTTGCCGCTATGAATGCTAAAGCTAGCCCGCCTGTATCGCCCCTGGCTGCGTCTTCCCCAGTGCCCTCTCCCTCTGTCAACATCAGGAAACCTGCTCCAAAGCCACCGGTCAAGCAGCTTCCCCTACAGCCATACACTGTAGCCTCAGAGACAGAGACCCCGGTACACACTGACGCACCTCTAGCAACCACTGCCCCTCCAAAACCAGATCCTGAAAGCCTTAAAAACCCTATTGACCAACCTGGCCATACTAACACTGCCAAAGATGCTGAAACTAGCTCTCTTTCAGGGATCCACGGTGCTCTTAAAGTCCTGGATGCTGACAAATCTGCTCTTTCTCCTTTACCTGTCACTACTATTTCCTCCCCTCACGCCCCCCCCGTTGAGGAGCCGGTTTCTAAGGATCCCTTTGCATCGCGGTCAGACAGATACACCTTACTTTCCTCTGTTGAAGGGCCTAAAAATGCAGATACAGATTTAGAGATTGCAAACGGGATGGAAACTGACAAATACCTTATTAGCTTAAAGAGCCCCCCTTGTGACCCCCCTCTGGCCAATGGAGATGCAGCAGACCTCCCCCCCTCAGGCCCAGCTCTGGAGGCATCAGAGACTCTGGCCAAGACTGCTCCTCCTGTCAACGATGAGTACGGCTCCCTCTAGAGGTTTATCTGTGTGTGTGTTTGTTTGTGTGAGTGTGTGTGTGTGTGTGTGTGTGTGTGTGTGTGTGTGTGTAACTTGTATGCCCATTCATTCACCACTGCATCTTGCCATTGACCACACAAAATGAAATATTGTAATGGTAAACTGTGGTAATGACATTCGGGTTATTTATCAGTAAGAGGTTGTGGATTGTGACAGACGAGTGATATGACGGTAATGGTTTTATGCTTGTGTGTGTAAGTATTCTTCATAGTGGGGCCTCCACTTTTGCAACATTCACCACAAGAATTATTTAAGCCCCTTTCAGACATGGAGCTTGTTACTTGACATGTCTGAGTTCAAAACTATTCTGCAAAACGCCCAACAGAGCACAAGTCTGAGTTACATGCTGTCGGATTACACCTGCCCGTATGTACACACACACACACACACACACACACACACACACACACACACACACACACACACATCTTTACGAGGAGCTAATTGAAAGTGACAATCCAACATGCAGAGGGGAGAAAGGACAAAGTAAGCGGGGCTGGATATTTTCCTCTCAAGCTCTCTTTCATTGCCTAGCCAACTATTTTTGTCCTTTTTTGTCTTCACAAACACTTTAAATACCTTACACACAAAAACCGTTTCCACATATTTATGCAATTATCTTGTCTCGCCCCCCGCCTCAATGACAGCTGTTTCTTTTCTCCATTTCTGGTTTTAGCAACAGCACACCGAAATACATGTCGTGTCTTAGCGCTGTCACAGATGTATATCTTTATCATCTCTTATGTTCAAAAAATATATATATATATATCTTAGTTTAATAAACCAGGAATCACTGAACCTTTTAAAGACTTTTGATCGCAGTCTATAAAGTGGAGATAAGTTTAGGAAATGTGTATTTTTTTAAACCCTCTAAGTACGACAACAATCAGAGCTGGTGGCCGTTGGACAATATACAGAATATACATGATATCATTTTAAGCACATGTGTTGGGGGATGAGGAAATCCTGACACTTAAAATGCTAATTAGTTAAGGCTTCAACAGAAGAATGAGTTTTAATATTAACATTAATGCAGGCTGTTTAGAGAACAGATATAGTGATATCATTGCTTTCCAACCCACAAAGCAAACTCTGCTTCTCATGCACTAGATGGCGATGTTGCACAATAATTGTGGCTGATTTAAGTCCTAGCATCCCCTTTGTAAGTCTGATTGATAAAACCATGTCACAGATTCACATAGATGAGCCAGCAGTGTTACACGTTCCATGTCTGAAAGGGGGTTTAATTAGGAAGTGTTTTGTCTCAGGCAGTTACTGTATTGCCTCTGAGTGCTAAATCCTCCGCAGGAGAGGACAAGAGCTGCAGGCAGGATGTAGATCAGGGGTGTCAAACTCAAGGCCTGGGGGCCAAATCCGGCCCGCGACCTAATTTTATGTGGCCCGCAAGACCTTGCAAAGAATATAATATACAATACAATTGGTGTAATTGTTGAATATTTGCTTTCAATTATTTGCCCTAGACTTCTGCTTTCAGACGTAGTTATTTAGGAAGATATTACCAGAACTGATAATAATCCAATGCAGGGCCAACAATGTAATATAATACATTATTTAATATATATTATATATTTACATATGTATATTTATATATAATTAAAATTAAAACCGGCCCTTTGAGTGCCACCATAATGCTGATGTGGCCCGGGATGAAATTGAGTTTGACACCCCTGATGTAGATACTCTTCCTCACTGCTTCAGGATATACACACACATCACAAGGCTCATAATGTCTTAAGGGCAGAGCTGATAAATACCGTTTTAAATCAGGAAGGTTAGTTCACACCAAATGATTCATATGGGAGTGTCCTTATCTGTTTAACTGTATCCTACTGTTGTCAAGGTGGTGAAGAAATATGTAAGAAGACCTCTAAACACAAACACTGTCTTCTTACATATTTGAGTAAAGGTGTCATTCAGAGTAAATGGTTAAAATTGTGTAACTTTTTTGTGCAACTAAAGTTTTGTTTGCTCTACACAGGGATGACCAGATTTCAAATTGTGCACTTTCTCCCTTTTTCCATTGCAGGAAGATGTTCTCTGATCAGAAAGACAAAGTGGAGGAGGCAGAAATGACAAACGCCCTGACGGAGATTACTGCAGAACACAACAGTGTCATACACACAAATTCCACCGAGAGCAAAGCATGATGGGTCGAGGAAACCCCCTGTCCAATCCAAAACATTTTTGCGGCAGCACCGAGCGAGAAACACTGCAGGAATTTTCTTTTCCAGTGCCCTTAACTACATATTAAAAACCACACGCACACCTGTCGATTGGCACACTTCGACTGTGCTTTCATTCCGGGTTTCATTCATGAGATGTTTACTACACCAAGGAGTTTATCTTCAGATCATAAGAGATTTATTTTATTTTTTTATTCTTATTTTATTTAACCCGTCAGGACGGTTGAGGACAATCTCTTATTACATGATCGCTTGATAAATATATGGAATTAGACTCTACTCTCTGCTTTTAGTTTGAACTGCGCAAAAATAGTGGATTATTATTAAAAATTTAAAAAGGAGAGAAAAACCTGACTATATAGAAATCTTTTTTCTTATTTTCATGTTTTACAGTTCAAATGAAAAACTATTTTCATTTTTTTTCATTTAATTTCTGGGCTTGTCTCAGTAAATAGCTTGTTCTGCATGTCTGAGCTGCAAGAGGCTGTAAAGTTGTGTGTACAAGCTTTATTGTTTCACTACGTCTGTTACAGCGGCGTTTCATCTCTCACAGATTCGCTGGCATTGATTAAACACAGTATTTGGATTCTAACCATATTTGTTATGGTTATATAAATGCAGGATTAACCCACATCCAGCTGCAGGGGGAAAGAGACGGAGAGAGAATCCCACAACACATCAACAGTGTGCATTATCACATCCGATTTGGCCCATATACTGATCGAATATTCAGTCTGTCACTGCCTCACCACAGTGCTGATTAAAATATTTGTAAATCAAATGGATTTGATTAAAAGAGGCAACTCCTTGAACACTAACGTCCACAGAAGACAAACTGCCAGCAGAACACGATTCTCAGCCAAAGGTTGAAGAACCGATAATCTTATGAGCTAAATTTACGCCACGTATTTGTTCAGAGGGCAACGACTACAGAGCTACTGTTTCTTCCTCACATTAAAGCAGATCAAAGGTCTGGCTTCGTACTTTGAGTTGTGCTTTTGAAGAAAAAAAGTGAAAAATAAAAAAGCATTTTTGTACTATTTAAAAACTACAAAGATTTATTTTCCATTTCCTGCCTGCAAGCTTGTGCACTGTGCCTGTGTGTCGATAGATTGTCTTGTCATCAGTTTCTATGATAATCTGCATAGCTTTGTCGTGAGAGATTTAGCCTATTCTTTTATTTAATATGTTGTATTAGAAGAAAAGTATGATAAATGGACTAATGTGGTCATTATAACACGTGTAGTGTATGAAATTGTCCGTCTCTGGTCACAGCACTATATATTGCCAGCTATAGTGAAGGGAGGTGTTTTGAGCCTTGGCATGAATTCAGTCAGTACTTTATAACGTATATCTACAAGGCAGATAAACATGCCCATGTTTGTTGGGGTAAATAGTTTTCATATTGATTTAATGAGTGTTACCGTTCAGGCTTGTTCTGCCATAACTACACATTGTTTTTATTTCTCTCCCCCTGTTGTTATTCAAGTGTTCTGTAATGTGGTCTTTGAATTTTATTTTATTTCGTTTTTGTCTTTTTGTACAAACGTCACTCACCAGGGGCAACTGCTTGACAAGTTCAGGATACACATTGGCAGGAAGCAGAGTGGTCCCCATGAAGTGGGAGATCAAACCTTTTTTTAAATATTAAGATGATAAGAGATCTAAAGTATGTAAGAACAGAAAGACAGCTTTACTCAACACCTTTTACTTCTCTGCTGTTTCCTGACTACCTTTTCTTCCTTGTCACTGGATGCTCCTTTTGGTTTTATTGGGTCCAACTCAGAAAATATCTGTTGTGTACAGTCTGAGCGCCAACCCATTTACAAAATAAAAAATGGTTTCCGAATCTAATTTTGTCTTGGCCCCTTTTTTCATAAGTTTCAATTACTTTCCAACTGAGATTGAGCCCATGTAGCTGTACATTTTAAACACTAGATGGCAGTAAGTAGCCTACCTATTTGTAGCTGCTCTTTTGTTTTCGCCATGTCATGGACACACCGGACTATTTACAGAAAGGTTACAGAGCAAACAGGTTATGTTGGGCCTGGAAAACTCCCCGGCCTGCTTCTGATAAATGGAAGAATAAATAAACATGTTGTGCGGGAGTAAAGTTGATACTTCCAGGCTAGGATGTCAACATACTATGAACCAGTGGGGGCTTGATATTTTAAGATGTTTCATTTTGGCCTTCCACCTCTAATGTACCGGTGCTGTGTCAACAACGGTGTCAACAACCGCGGCGGGGCATCCGGTTTCACTCCACATCTTTCACCGGTCAGGCTGCCCCCTTACCCAACTTCAATTCCCCTCCACTATTCTGTTAACTGGTTTGATGTTTATCCCCAGCCTGCATTAACCGGTTTCTGCTTGTTATTGCAGGACATCACGCTGGCCCTGAGCTGGTAGCCTGTTGGTAGTTAGGTGCCCGGTAGATGTCTCTGATAGCCGCCTTGATGGAGAGACGAGCAGCAGAGGGCGAGCAGTCAGAGTAGTGACGTCTCCCGGTGATGATTTACTGCTGCCGGTTAAGCCAGCAACAGAAAGCCAGGATGATACAGGAAGCTATGTGATGTAGCCTTCAAAGTGTAACAGTAGAAATACAAAATAAATCATAATAGAAGGAGACATGATAGACTTTTTAGTGCAACAGGAGCTTTTGTTAAATTGTGTGTTAAATGTTGAATTTTTTTCAAAAGCCTCCATTTTGTTTACCTTCAAAGCTGAAGCTAGGGGGACCAGGTGCCAACAAGCCACTGTGGAACAAAGAGAATGTTTGTGTGGGACAATGCAGGACCTGTTACTGCAATGATAATAGGTGGTTTAGATTTCAAAAAAGACCATTTAGCCCTTACAAATAAACATTTCTATTGAAACTAGCTTATAAATAATAATTACTTAGGATTGTATAGGACTTTCTTATATATTTGGTTTGAAATGGGTTTTCTTCTCCAACAAAACATGTCCACATTATATTTATTTGCATCTCTGAGTCTGGAGCTGGAGAAAAAACTCTTGCAAATGTCATAAAAAAACTCTTTGGCAATCACCCTCTACAGGCTACACAAATACATGTTTAGACTTCGTTGATTGATTAACATCTGACACAGTGATGGAGGACATTGTCTCAATGTGTGGGACAAATTATAAAAATACTGTGCAGTCCCAGACAAAGTGGGACACCTGGTCACCCTAGCTGCAGCTACTATCGGCAGATATTCCTGTATTTATCATGTATTAGGTAATTCAAACGAACAAAAGCATCCTGATTCAAAAATACAACATTGCATTTATTCAAAATGTTACTCAAGGAAAACTACATAAGTATTTTCAGCTATGTGTAAGTAATCATTTATGCAGAAGGAATGGACTCCATGTTGTGTTTTTATATAATTGGAAGTCTCATTAAAGATTTTTTACATTTAAACACTAGGATTTCGTTCCTCAAATAACATTTAGACGATTGTGTCACACGAAAATGTATTCAAGGGTTAACACATATTTGAAAGACGTGGGAGACTGAGGGGGGATGGGGGTATTATAGTGGACTGACATTCTTAACCTCAGTTGACCTCATGGGTCAACTTCCTTAAAGCACAGGGTCACCAGGATGCCTTTGTATTTCTACAATTTTCTCTATAGCCTTTTTCAATCTAGCAACCATCTGTTGAAAAGTCTAAAATGAAAATGATGGCAATAGCAGTACTATTCAGGTTATCTTGAAATATCTCACTGTCCTTCAGTCAGAATTAAGTTGTATTTATGTCACTCTTGCACCCTTCCCCCAACTGGCTCAACATTTCTTGGACACCAAAAAACCACTCCCACATTTTTGCTGGACTTTAGAGCCAAAAAGTGTGTTCCTCAGTTGTGTCAAAACATTTTGCATTATCTGTATTTTCTATATAGGTTTTAAGGCAGTACTAATATGAGACATGCATTAGTCAAACTGGATTTTCTTTCTTACACTATGTATACGTTTACATCAAAATGAATATATGCAACAAATATTCCCACATTTAGGATAAGGTATGAGTTAATTACATGTAAGGAAACATTAATGCTGAGACAGATATCCTCCGCTAAAAAGCTCCTTATTTTCTTCACGATGAAATAATGCATCTTTTAAAATCAGTAATTGCAGAAGGTTGCTGCGATTGCTTTATAAAAGGAGGGGAAATTGCATAAATGTATACTTACATTTATACATAAATTAAATACCTAATTATTTTTTTAGAAATGGTAAATAATGGTACAACTTATGAGTGTCGCTATTTTACACAAGTTTTGCACTGATACCTTCAGTTATTTTATACCAAAAAAAGGACATCACTACCAAATTAGATGACAAATCCTTAGCTTATTGTCTTATTTTGTTCCAACACCAGAAGCAATAAGAGCCACACATCATATTGACACATAATTACTTAATTAATTCACATTACTGAACAATCTGGTGCCACTAAATGTTTTTAAAGCTCGGTTGGATGCTACTCAATCGGAAGCTATTGGTACCTATTTATGTGGATAATTATGTAAATGATGCTGTATGATGTCCTTTTGTTGTTCTATTTATGTTTTTTATGTTTCATGTGGAACTACTTGAGCAGGTCTCCCTTGAAAAAGATATCAATGATCTCAATGGGATTTATCTGTCTAAATAAAGGTTTGAAATGAAATGAAAATAATATTATCCATTACCAACATTTAGATTTCAATGTAGGCTATATCTATTTTTTTTAATTGGAGTCTCTCTGTATAAGTTCTCACAGATGAAAAACTGGTTGAAACATGAATATTTATTAAATGGGCACATTGAAGCAACAAGGCAATCTAAAGTGCATTACATACAACACCAAAAGTCAAACCATAGAAAAATTGGTTATCAATCAGTGACTTTATATGCTTTTCTTACAAATAACACTATCAAATATTTCAACACGTGGTTCTCAAGACAGGGTTTTACTTTGAAAGTTCGTCCCGGAAGTGTGGTTGTCCCCCCGTGGGTTTGACTGTGGTGGCTGGGTGATGATTTGCTTACTTGGAGCAGACTGAGTTTGGAGCGGGTACTGTGAAATGTGTAACCATGATGCTGCCTGGGTAATCAGCGGAGGACGTTAGGAGACAGAGGTAAGAACAACTGTGACAGCCGACACTTTTAACATGTCTGCTGCTCATTTCAGCTCATTCTTCTCCTATCAACTACTTTCCAGTCTCAGACTAATTCCAACAATTAATATTTGAATTAATGTCCGTTTTATAGAGTGTGAAATGATATCGTTTAACAGCACACGTGTGTACATCTACCTTAAGTTTGGCTGCAGCCTGATTTAGGATTTTACAAACTTGATTCAGCTCAGTCTGTATCGCGCGGACATATACAAATTGGACAGTTTTTGGGATAAATTGGTGTGTTTAAATTTTCGCCCAGCTCACGCTCCCTCAAACACCGTGCAGTCAGTAAATACGCGCTTGGACAGGGTTAATTTGTCGCAATGTGTTTGTATAATAAATGTGGATTTGTGCGTGTGCACCTGATGCGCTCCGATGTTGCGGTTAGTTGAGGATGCAGCCTGTCAGCATCGCTCGAGGTGCTGCTGAGCGGTCCGACAAACATCATCATACACAGTCCAATTCTTACTCACACTGTCATTTAGGGATTTAAATGTGGTCAAAATACAATTACCTGTCGCAGGATTCCGCATTATTTCCACGGTTTGCTCCATTTAATAGTTTTATAACTTATTTAGGGATTTTTTTTTTTAAAAGAGCGTCTTAATTGTCTCGCACACGTCTAATCAGGAACGTGCACAGCCTAAATGAACTAATCAGCCCTGCAAGGCGTTTGTTAATCGCGGGCCTACCTGTTGAGGGCACAGATGTGTGTGTGTGTGAGCTTGATAAATTGGACCGTCACCTCTCAGTATGCAGACGTTATTACAGCGACGTGACCGCTCTACGAGACCTCAGACTAATCACCTGCAATGGAAACTGTTGCTTTGTGCCTATCGACCTGTTGTCTGCATCTGGTTCTTAATTAAAATAAATAATCATGTAGGGTGCATGGATTAAGAACCCTAAAGGTGGGGTTTGAATTTTACGGAATATATATATAATTGTATTTTTAATGTAATGTATTTGTTTAAGTATTTCTATTGATTGATCAGGGATGAAAGTGTACACTGGAATGTAATTAACAACGTTTTTGCATCACATTGTAAGTGAGACAGGCACTAATGATGGTCTCCCCTCCCCCTCCACCCGAACCACAGCCCTACAACCAGCTGAAGGCAAGTGAAGCAGGCAGGACAGCAACACCTCATGCGTGGGCTCGGCAAAGGTCCGAGTGGATACGGGTCTGACAAACATGGGTGTGCTCCAGCTCCACAATCCGACTCACCCTAGCACGCTTCTGCAGCGGGCCAATCAATTGCGTCTGTCAGGCACCCTGTGTGATGTTATCATCACGGTGGACGGCCAGGAGTTCCCTGCGCACCGCACGGTCCTGGCCTGCACCAGCAAAATGTTCGAGATCTTGTTCCACCGCAGCAGCTTACGCTACGCCCTGGACTTCCTGTCCCCCAAGACCTTCCAGCAGATCCTGGAGTACGCCTACACCGCCTCGCTCCAGGCCACGGCCGAGGACTTGGACGACCTGCTGTACGCCGCTGAGATCCTGGAGATAGAGTACCTGGAGGAGCAGTGCCTGAAGGTGCTGGAGACAATCCAGGCGGAGGAGACAGAGGAGGTGGCTGTGAAGACTCAAAGCTCAGGGGACGCCAGTGACCACGGCCGAGCCCGGCACTGGAGGCACATGTTGATGTCCAAGAAGCATTCCATACAGGACGGGCCTA